GCAGTTTGACATGACTTATTTTCTTTTTCATTATATTTTATGATATAAGTAAAATAATAATATATATAACTAAAAGACTGTTATGTAATTTCTTATAAATTTATTATTGTAGACAACGTGGTAATCGTTCTAATATGAATATGATTGTTTTTTTTTAAAACGTCAAGTCGCGTAAATCCATTGGCTAAATCAATAGATATAATAACGTGGTCATTATTTCACAATCAATACATTATTACAGATCATGTTATTTGTTAAAGCAGCTGATGTCGAATATGATTATTAACCATAAAAGTATTAAAATGAATATAACCTAGTAACATTACCTCCTCCACGTTTTATGGTTCGGCGTCAAATCTATCGTGCTTTTGTAAAGCTTGCTTAACCTTGGTAGGTACAGCCGCTTTGAGTAGCTAGCGATGCGTTGTCGATATTATTATATCATGAAGACACCAGTTCCTTTCAAATTATTCAAATTCATAAACATGTTAAAATTTAATTTAACCCTTTTGCGATGACGTTTTTATAACATATTAAAATCGTCGAATGTATTTAATGATACGATTTTATTGTAATGTGCATTGTTATTGCAAATACCTAGACAAGTGTTCCGCTCACCTTAACACAGTGTTCCCAATCACTAGGACTATTTTGAGCGCGTAAGACCGAATACACTCCAATTAAATTACTTAATCATGTGTGATAGTTTTGGTACATTACAGTTCGAATAACTGTGCGCGACTATGAGAGATGCGGCAGTTTGAAAATTTACATTTGACGATAACTTATAGCACCTTTTACGTACAATTGATTAAAATCAGTTATATATCATGATGCCCTTATATGTGAAAAATATCTCTTACTTGTTTTACTATCTTCTTTTTCAAGATTTAAGGACTACGCTCATGTTGGTGAAGCACTCGCCACACATCTCTCCATAGTAATAAATATTTATACAGTGCATCCCTCTCTATTGCAAAAAAATATAACTCGTACGAATTAATTATTCTCAAACTTAAAAATTTAATACTTCGAATCATTCTTATGATTTTGTTTAAATCATATCCGTGAAGATTATATGAGCATCAGAAGAAGTATCGGGTCTTACCGCCATTGGAACACAAATTATCGAATAAAAGTTCGAAAATAGCCTATTAAATTTCTTCAACAACGTTTCATCTATTTTTAAAATGCTAATACGAATCCAAAGAAACGTACTGTTTGATGATTTGTGTTACTACTCGTACGTATCAACATGACACTTGAACTATTATTAATAGGACAAGAGTCGTTTCTATTTAATTCGACAAGTTTCTTCCTTTAATTTTTGTTAAAAGCTTAGCTTTGGTCTCCCTCTAACTCTCTTTCGTCTTTCCGATAATGTTTGAAACAAACAAAATAAATAAAAGATATGATGCAATATATACGTAAGTTTCGATAAAATCAAAATACTGTTTAACATTAAATGTTAACAGAACATAGCACATAATATCCTGATGCAATACACATATAGTCGTTTATACGTAGAGTCGATGAGTGTGCACACGGTGATCCGTGGGGCGCAGGAATCCAGAAAGCTTTTAATAAAATATTGTTACCTCCCGATGCTGAAACCTAATTTGTGGGCCCCGCTGCCTCAGATGGATTGGATTTAGACTCTTTACGCGACCGACTTACTGATACCTATAACACACGAAAAATATTTGGTCAAATCCATTACTATTACTATTTTATCATCATATATAAATTTTAAAAGTCCGATAATATTTCTGAATAAGGCAAAAACAAAAATAAATTTAATTATTATCTCGTACAAGATAAGAATTATGGATTTCATAAATCCGTTTTTTTTTAAAAGATCACAGTATACAATTTGTAGCTTATTTTACAAAAGAATAATTACTTATAAAGTTGTAATGAGCTTTTAGGAAAATCAAAAAAATAACTTCATTATGTGATCGATAAGAGTTTGCAAAAACTTATCATAATAAATGGTGCGTCACCTAAATTACATCTAGCGTCACCTATCATATTTGTGCTATCCTTACGTTAGCTACCGATTACTTATGGAGGTGGAAGCAATAGAACAGCCAAGCTGCATTCTGTACAATCCAACTAAATGTAAACATAGAATTTAACATTATGTTTAATTCATCGATAGTTGCATTCAAAACAGACTATAAATCAGACGCTAATTGAAATGCATTCCTTGACCGGGCCCATTGCTCGGCCCAAATTGTTCCAAGAACACGTCACTCACGTTAAACTACTAAGATTATAATTTTGATATAAAACCTTGGATTTATAATCGACTCCGCAGATAAATTACAGTTGTTACATCTAGATAATACTTAGTATTCATCCAAATTATTACTGTTGCGCCTGTCAGACATGCATACATGTTCTATTAAAATACAACTTTATCGTTTTGTTTAAGATGACTTATAGTAGGAATTTTAGAAATGTGGAAAATGTGGAAATACGGCTATAAAACGATGAAAAAATATATGCTAATTGCTTTCTACTCAATATCTGTTCTAATATTCAAGTTCACTAGCAAAACACAAAGTATTCCACCGAACACCGTGCTGAGACTGTGTTAGAATACTTATAAACTTACCAAAATTGTGGCGTGTTACACGCCGGAAGACTATTAAACACTTTGATGTACAGGGATAGTCACCAAAAAAAAAGTTTATTATCCAAAACCATCGTTTACAATTCCCTTTAATAAATAGCTGTTTTGTTTTGTATATTCAAACTTTTCAAAAGAAAGCAAAGAATAATCGTGCATGTACCTAAGTTAACCCTTAGAAGTTGCAGGGGAGTTGTTCGCTTTCAGGCCGTTTGCGCTAACTTTAAAGTTAATGCGCCTATTTAGTATACAGTGATAAGTATATCACGTACCGGGGGCCGTCTGCGGAGCGAGCCGCGGAATTTTAAATACAAGCCAAGGTGTTGAGAATGTTTGGTCTTTAGCAAAAAAATGTTCTCCACCCTCAGAACAACGCAACGACGGCTTATATTTTTTTTATTGTCCATTTATGTAAACTTTGTCACGTTGACTCGATCATAGTCACAGTCGTAGGACATTTGTGGAATTGTATAGGTGTTGTTGTTACCTTTAATGCGTGTCGTTAGTGGTGCTATTATTGAAACGTGTTCCGAACATTCACTATAGTAAATTATAAATATGATACTGAATTAATAAATACTTCAAGAGTTAAGAGAATTTAACTCCTACTAAGTAGTAGTGCCAACTTTAATTTCTTACTAGGATTATGATCGAAAGCAATGTTTTATCCTATTTATATTAGGGAAAATAGATAATTCATTTATTTGCATTATTAAAATAGCACACATGCATTAAACAATTCTATTACAATAAAAAAAAATACAATAAATAAAAATCCGCTTTAACGTGTGCGCCACAACAATGCAAAAGGGTAAAAGCTCAACGATTCCTTTGCTCAAGGAGCAAAGCGCTGATTTTCAGCCATTACCCAGACTGCTAGCACGATCTCAAACTAAAGCATCACTTTGATATGATAGTCTGATTAAAAATTGCATTCAATCACAAGTGTTATAATGGAATATAATAATTCATTCAATTAATCAAAAATTACAAAATTTTAATTGTGAGAATAATAAATATTGTATATTGATTGTCACTATCACAGATTACATATGAAAATCAAAAATGCTCAAGTAAATTTGTCAATGTAGTAATCGCTTTATGTTATTTCTATATATGTAGATATGATTAATCAGACTGGTCAGTGATATATTTACACCATTGATTTTTCTGCATATTGTTATACTTAATAAATTCTAAATGTTAATATCATTGATGTATAGCAGTTTTGAACGTTACTGGTAGCTTTATAATGTATGAACCTGCTATATGTAAATACAACTACGAATTTTTTTTTCTCAAGAGGATGGAAATTCATAAGGTATTCAAATACAACTCGACTTTCTGTTATTCGATGAGGGATAATAAATAATCAGTTTACTAAAGTAAAATAATGACTAAGCTGTGCCTTACTCTAGTTTTATCCTTGTAATATTCTATATATATTCATGGACAAATCGAAATTTCAATTCTTAATACTCTAATTTTTATACTAACAATAAATGAAGGTAATTTTGGTGGTTTAAACTAATATAAGTTTAGTTTAAATACTTTCAAAGACTTTTTCAAATTCTTTTAACAACAAAGACAACCGAATTTATTTGTTTTAAATATATGAAACTGTGCATAAAACATTTATATATATAAGATAAAAAGGAATTGAAAAAGCGCATAAGTTTGCTTTAATACATTGTTAATTATAGCAATTTTATGTTTTCGTATACTAGAAACTATGTTTAATCCAAACAAACCTTAATTATCTTTGCTTTATTTTAATACAAAAACTTTTACAAATTTGTGAGAAAACACTTATAATAGATTTCGTTATTCATTCGTACTATTTTATATATATATATTACCTACCGATTTTACATTCTGAAGCAGCTGTTCAGATGAAACTTGACGAAGATCAGTGTTAAAGGGCAGCAGCGCCATCTAGACGTAAATATTGAAGTTACAGAAGCGGTACACACAACTAAAACTTACTGTTACGTTGAATATTTTAAAAGCAGTGCAGAGCATTACATCTCTAACATTATAAAATAGATAGCGCTATACTTACCTTTTGGTATAATCATGATAAATCTTATCAAATTTTCGTCATCCACCTACTCATAAATAATTAATATTAAACAGCATGACATACATTGCTTAGTTCGAAAACAAAGTAGCTGTTTGCACTTATACTATAAAAATCTAAAACAACCGAGGTACCACAATGCTCAAACCCGAGGCAATAGAAAAAAAATCTGCATAATATCTGCACTCATCACCCATAAATACTAATTTTGTAAAATTGATTTTATGACTTACTGTTTTAATTAGGAAATTAGGCAGATTGAAATAATTTTATTTCTTTGTCAACAGAATCATGCGGAGCAGACGACTTCCGATGTGATAATGGTAAATGTATAGAAGCATCCCGACGTTGCGACCGCGTCGTCGACTGTCCCAATGAAGAAGATGAACAGCAGTGCGGTAAGTCATTTAACACTACAATTATCAAAAGCCATTTATAAATTCATAAAATTTGCGCAATCAAATGTACAGAAATATTAATGGTTCATCTTGTAAATGTATATATCGAAGGAGCCTAAAAAAATAATTTTATTGCCTTGAAATCGAAGTTCTGAAAACCATCGAGCATTTTAATACTATCATATCGTAAAACGTCATAATGCCCTTGTACATAGACAAAACCAAACGCAAAAATGGAGTAATTTTATTTTATTTTAATTATAAAAATTTGAGTATATGATCTTCATTTTATTTATCTAAGGCTTTTGATTTTTAATTTTTGTCACCTGAATTTCCATGTCACATCATTTCCAGATTGCAGAGAAGGCGAATTTCAATGCTTATCAGATGGATCATGCATTGAGGGTAGAAAACAATGTGATGGTATCAACCATTGCAAAGATAGCTCCGACGAGCGCGAATGTGGTAAGTGCACCAATATATCTCCCAAAGTCATCCTTCATTATATTTCACTTGGTACATAGCTTGGGTAAAGTATACACCTCTAATGACTACTTCATACGTTTTAAATATTTACATAAAATAAGTCATTTTATCTGTGCATGCATCATTGGTACTTAAACGGTAAGTGTCTCGCATATCCGACTTGTGGGGGGGCGACCATGTATGCCCAGATGGTGGGCGATTTCGCTGCCGGGATGGAACATGCATCTCTATGCTGCTGCGGTGCGATGGATACCGGGATTGTCCAAAGGATAACAGCGATGAAAGCCAATGCCGTACGTATAAGGCACGACTAAAAATGTGATATTGATTTATATGCTGTAATCGGAGTTTATTTTTGAAGAGCCACGTTTGATAATATAAAATAAGCGAAAGCGTAGAAATTGAACAAATGAAATAAACAAGGCATATCAATCTATTCACCTAACAATAACCAAATAACTCAGTAAACTAACACTATTTAATAAGTATCTACCGCTTTCAAAAGCATGCAGCTCAGGTCAATGGCAATGTGACTTCGGGAATTGCATCGACCGTAGTAAACGCTGTAATGGCCGCGTGGACTGCCCGTCTGATAGATCTGACGAGAGGAATTGCTACGGTGAGGTTGACGTCTTATACGTATACTTATAAACGTAGATTCATTGATCTTATTTCAATTATAATGTATCAACTACTTTTGGTTATATCAAAGTTTATTTATTATACATATTCACCGTTTGTAAATATATTGACAATCTCTACTGCATTTTTCACATATTATGTTGACACTTAGTTGGGATTTAATATATATTTTTTTTTATTAAATCGCAAGCATTAAGCGTGTTATTTACTATTTATGTGTATTCGCACTTTGTCATTTCCACATTCATTAGTTTTGTGCATGTATTTCCAGTTACTCGAAACTTTAAATGCAGAAGTGGCAAGTTAATTCCCGATTATCTAAGATGCAATCGCCGTTACGATTGCCCACCGGGAGATTATTCCGATGAACAAAATTGTCGTAAGTTTGGTACCTACTCGTATTTGGATGTGTTCTGTTTCGCTTGATTTTTCCTTTTTCGTCCTCAATCTGTTTTCTTCTTTACATTTCTGTTTTCTGCTTTTTACTCCTTTACCATGATCTTGGTGGATTTCTTAGTTCAGCATTCAACATTCTTAAATTTTCTGCATCTGTTCTGCAGTTTGTTAATTTTATGTCTTTTATGATCGATTATTTTATTAAAAATATTTTCGATTTATGACAATCTCAATAATTTCTTGCACAAAACAGCATGTGGTGAAGGCGACTTCCAATGCGATAACGGCAACTGCATACCTGCATCCAAATATTGTGACCGAACGCATGATTGTCAGGATGGTTCTGATGAACGAGATTGCACTTATGGTTTGAATTGAATTTATTAAATTTAATTTCAATTTATCAAGTCGTTAGAAGTGTTGTGGGTGTTGGGTCGTACCCCGTTCACATTAGATAAAATATTTTTGCATGTTGATAATAAAAAATAATACTTCATGTTATGAATCAAGTATGGGCCCGCATAATATATCAAATTGTTTTTCATGAATTTTAAGCAATGCGTTTGATTCATGACATTATGCTTATTTTTTTAGATTTCACTTGTATGGCACAAAACATAATATATACATAATATAATAATCAAATTATTTCATAACTATCGTTAGATATAAAATTAATAATTGGTGAATTTTTTATAATTATTAAAACTATGGATTATATTAGAGTAATTCCTGAGAGGTTTTCTGTTAGTTACATTTTTCTTTTTCCTCTAACAATTAAAAACTAACCGATTTTATAGCCTAGAAGAACCCAGGGTTAAAGTAGCTACCAATTTCATCTAATACATTTAAACGAGAAATTCTTGAAATAAAACCAACTTAAGACTTTAAAAAGTATAAGTAGACTTTGAAAAATAAATATTTTTATTATCTTTAGTGATACTTGTATTATTTTCTATAGGTATCATAAAAATATTAAATATCTAATATTAAAAATAATTGATATTAACGTAAAAAAGCCCTGGATATTTTGTTTAAGTGCACGATATAATATACTCATATTTCGCATTTCCAATGTGTATTTGGTATAAATTGGTTCCTAATTTGCGAACATAGAAAAATCTCCTTTCCAATTTTGTAATTATAGGAATTCAATATAAGTTTTCTTCTATTAGCAAAACGTTTTTAGTTATTTTGTCACAAAAACACTAAAATACTCATTCGATATCGATAAAATTGATATAGCCTTATAATAATCTAACAAAAATAAAAAAAAATGGAAAATCCGTAAAGAATTCGCGACAAAATACAAAAAAAAAAAACCAAAAATCCGTCCAACAAACATAAAACTTACTCCTTTTCGATTCCATCGAGTTTGTTGTACATAATAATTTCCCAGGAATCACTCTTATTTTATTTTATGTTTGGTTAACAGTCTAAATTGTTTGCATATGTAATAATAATATTATATAGGTAAATGAAGGCTTGAATTTCATTTTTGTAAATTATTTACTATAGTTATTGTTGAAATTCAAACTTACTTACCTGTACAATTAATTATGGTTATGGTGCATTATTTTACGGCAGGCACAGCATGCATGGCTTTTCAATATAAATGCTCGAGTGGACAATGCGTACCAGCTGAGTCCATATGCAACGGGACCAAGGAGTGCAATGATTGGTCAGATGAACAAAACTGCCCTTGCAAAAGGGAAGAGTTCCAATGTCATGATGGTACTTGTATAAATATCGCACTGCGATGCAACGGTCACAGGAACTGCCACCCAAATGGGGAGGACGAGTTCAACTGCGGTAAGTAGCATGTGAGCCTCGAACTGTCCTTTGTCAACTTGGTATGGGGTGTAACTCTTTATGATGTTTACTATTCAGGATACTGCCCAAACGGTTACTGGCAATGTGCAGACGGTGGATGTATACCACAAGCCAAAAGATGCGACCGTCGGTCCGATTGCGTCGATCGCTCTGATGAAAGAATGTGTATCACCCCAAATACGTTGAGCAAAGGTTCAGGAATGTTATAATGGGGTCTCCGCATGTCCTGCAATTGCATGACGTCTATAGATTGTTGACATAGGCCTTGAGATTCTATAGCTTGCTCTGAAGTTTTCTTTCAACCTATAATAACGAAATTATACATGTTCTTCATTTTCGTATTCAAGCGTGACTTTATTTTTGTATAGTATTATTATTTCTGTCAAAGTAAGAATTACTTCTTCGTTGCTTTCAATGGAGTTGACTAAAACAACAACATTGAGGCTGTCTAACAAAGAAAGTAGAAGTAGATAGTTGTGTTAATTTTTAAAAGGGGATCCGTCGCCTCGTTTTCTGTTCATGCTTTATGTATGGTTTATATTGCAGCTGCGCCGCCATGTCCACCTGATTACTTCACTTGCGATGCATCTTCGTCAGTAAAATGCGCCCATCGGTGCGACGGTCAGGTTGAATGCGATGGTGGAGAAGATGAAGATCAATGCGATGGTAATTAATATTGAAAACTCAATAAGCATTGGTCAAAATTCTCAATGTTTGTTAAGTAATCACGCTTCTACAAAAGCGAAATGAGCATAGTGAATTATTATATATACAAAAGTCTTTTCGCTTCTTTGGAATTGAACAGCTTGATTATTATTAAACTGCCAACACGAATATTTATTATTAAATATGAATTGAATTTTTAGAATATTAGACATTAACTATATATTGTTTAAACAGTTTAAAAATACTACTGTGTGTTTTGTAAATGAAAATTTTATTCAAATGTAAAAATATTAAATTTTAAAAGTACCTTCCTGTTCCTTATTACACATATATGCTTAATTTATTCACTTGTGTATTACTTCTTTGTGAATTTTTATGTTAGCGAATTGTTTTAGCAGTTGCGAATATAGTGTTTAGAGTATGTGCTTTGCGCTGAGCAATCGATATAATATATATGACTGACAATGATATTTTCTAAATACTCGTAAAGTAATACCTACCTTATTAGATTTGTATAATTCATATCATACAATTTCATTCGTTATGCTAAGGAGGCTTACAAGATAGTTCTATTATTTTCAAAGAGTGCAGTCACCAGTGCGATGGAGGATGTTTGGACGAAGCGAAAATATGCAATGGCGTACTAGACTGTAGAGACGGCTCCGATGAACTAGAATGCGACCTCTGCGATGGACCAACTGACTTCAGGTACACACGTAACTACTGTATAGTATTATAAGTCCTGCTATACGCGATATGGGTCACAGTCAAATTTGCAATGCGAAAGGTATTATAGCTGGCTGTTCGCGAATCTGACGGTTTTGTATACTATGGTGTTTTGTTTTAGATGCAAGAGCGGTGAATGCATCAATTCCGCACAGTACTGCAACGGTATTCCGGAATGCTCCGACGAAAGTGACGAGGAGAACTGCAACAAGACTATGTTCTCTAAACCAGGTACGTAACGTATCCATATATAACTGAACATAGAAAGAATTGCAAGAGTTTAGGGAGACTTTAATTTACATATAAAAACAATGTTTTACGCAGATTCTAGTGATTCTTATAACTTCATGAATCGGATGAATTTTATTGAACGAGTATGATGAGATTCTTTAGTAGCTCGGTGGCATAGTCGATAATCACCACGGAAGTTCGGAAGGCATATTGTGTTTCGGAAGGCATATTGAGCCGTTGGTTCCGGCTGCATTTGCAGTCGTTAATACCCTCCATTCCGCATTGGGCCAGCATGGAGGGTCATGGTCCATCCTCCTTAACCATTTGTAAGGAAAGCCTAAACCCCTGCAGTGGGGACGTAAAAAGGCTGATTATGATGATGACAGCCTTTATGCGTCAGTACAAATCAAATCAAAAGTCACTTTTATCAGCCGGTTCTTGTCTTTTCAGAGGAATGCACCAGTGAAGAATACCAATGCCGGGACGGCTCTTGTATCAACAGTATGTTCTTTTGCGACGGTCAACGTGATTGCAATGACAACTCTGATGAAGAAAACTGCCGTAAGTATTGAATAAATTTATCCCTATGACACTAATTCAAAACTGTACATATGTTCTACTAATAGAGAAGAAAATAGAAGTTCAGTTTTAAATAAAGCTAATAACATATAAATGTGGTATGAATTTTTAATTTAAATCAAAAACAATTTATTTTAACAATTGCTCAGTTTAGATTTTGTTACATAGAGGTCTCTACAAGCCACACCTCATTGGCAGTATAAATCCACAGGGCACAAAGCACTTAAGCTTGTAGCAGCGACTTGCACAAAAGTATACACAATATTGTTACTATTTCAAGCACAAACACTTTACTGTCTTTAACTGCACTAGTAGTCAAATAGTTTCTGGTTATATTGTTGTCAACAATAGATTATTTTCCGAGAATTCTACAGGTGATATCATAACGTCTTTACAAGGTTTATGTGTTTATGTTTATATGAGTATATTCATATTTCCTGTTAAGTTGAACAAAAATATTGTTAAGATACGATGATCGATCTTTAAAATATAACCACCACGTTTGAACGAGTACTATTAAAATTAAACTATTCATTACTAAATAGTCGATTAATAACTCACGCCAAACGATTAATCATATTTTGGTTTCTGGTTAAACATACTTTACCAATTCCAACATTAAATCTATACTATCTAATACTATTAAAACAGAACTACTAAACTAGGTTCATGTTAGATATATATTTCACCAACTCGAGCTAGCTTCGAAATTATGCCGAAAGTATCTTAGTGCTCGGCATAAAATTTAGTATGACCTAGCTAATCAAAATCATAGGAAACACTAATGTTATGAGCATTTCGTTAATTCCCTGATGAAATGCAGATATCATATGGTATAGCAAGTCTTGAAGTGCTCGTTCAAACAGCCACCACGAATGGTGGGTAGTAGAATATCGTAAAAGCATTATATGCAGCGTGGTATACGCGGGCGTCGCGCTCACCAGGCCACCGACACCCGTGCCACGACTCCGAGTTCACCTGCTACGACGGCAACTGTATTACACACTTACGACGCTGCGACAATATCTATGACTGTGTGGACTTCTCTGACGAACAGAACTGTTACAATTCTGGTACAAACCACTTCTGCCGATGAAAAACATACGATATGAAACTGTCTATTACGGAGCTAAAGTTCTATATCAATTGATAAAATATTAATTGGTTCTGATAAATATATATGTTTCAATTTGCTATACTCGAGTATTGTCAGTTGTTAATAAAGCCTCATGACATATTTCATATTCGTCGTACTTCTCTGTGCAGATGTGGTGTTCTATATAAATGAATGCGTGTTGATTCCGCATCTTTTTTTCACCCTGAATTCCGACGCAGTTTATTTTTATAGCAGTTTTGTTTTATCAGTAATTGAAGGGTATTTAACTACAAGTTGTCCGCATGGCTCCGATATTTACCGTCAGTGTTTATTTAATTTTGTTAGAAAAAGTTCTTTAAGAAGAAACATAAACAATAGAGAATATTATAGCGATTAAAGAAGTAGTAGGCTGACGATTCGGTTTTGGCTATTTTAAGAGTTACGAGGAAGTCAACGTTAGACACGACTATCAACGGAATTAGTTTTGTCATAAAATAACATTTTAAAAACTGTCTACGAGAAATTAATATGCCTAGTAAGCGTAATATAGTACGCCTTGAAGTGAAAAATTACGAAAAAGGGGCAGTGGCCAAAACTGGGTCATCTTCCTTGTTTTGATGTAGCCTGCCAGCATTTCTAGCACATATCTTAATTTCAGTAGTAGGTATTGCATGATCTTTCTTAGCGTATTATAAACGTATATAAAAGTAGAACACTGAATTCGCATGACAAGGAGAGATTCCTATTTATAAAGCCCGACTATTGAAAAAAATATAATTGCATGGTACAATATACTGATAGAATTAAATACCGAAAATTGTTATTAACTTCAACAATTTCTTGTTTAAAACTTTTTAGAGCGTTATTTAGCTAACTTGGGTTTTAGTTTTTGAACTTATCTTGTTATCTGTAATAAAGCTTAATATTTTTAGGTTGCATTGTCTTGTGAATATCTAGAAGGAATAAAATCATATACCATTTTTTATGTCCTTACTCACAAGTAACAAATAAAAAGAATTGATGAGACTATCTATATGACTTTGGGTTTTTATTAAATACATATGTCATTACATCATTTGAAATTAGTAGATTTTTTATTATGAAATTTTAGTAATAAATTTCATTATTCAACAGCTAGATATCTAGAATTTAAATGTAAAACTTCGTTATATTATTACAGACAATTTCCACAGGTGTCTCTTACATTTCTATTTGAGCTGAACTGGTTATTAGGTATTACAAGATTCAATTAATAAACTTTTGTAAGGCCGCTAAATTTCCGAAAAATTGTAGTCGTAATAAACTACCAGTGTTACCAATTACCGCTATTTTCTAAAAACAAAAGATTTTTGAATGCATTACTCACTGTAGCAGAGAGAACGATTTCCAAAAATATACGACGATTTCCAAAAATATAATATATTATGTACAAATACCGAATTTTAAAGTGGACGGTATTTAAAAAGCCGGTCTGAGTATTGCTTGCCTATATATTTTTTTTAATTTAAAAATCAAGGCTTTCATTTGTCACATCGCTTGTAGCTTCAATTTTAAGATTTGACCCACTAAAACTATTATTTTATGATATTATGACGAAAGTCGTCATACCTGAAGAATAGAAAATTGACCACTCAGCAGCTTTGACCCATTTCGTAAAAATTAGATACACATTTAAACTGCTCGATATTTGGGTAGCACCTGAGCTCTCTGAGTGAAACCTTTCATCAAGGTGACACTATTAATAGATAATTTTGTAACAGTTTTTATCGGCAAAACTATCTTAACTAATTAATAATATTATCTTAACTGCCATTAGAATTCTTTAGTTTCATAAAATCAAGAGAGTACTTGTCACTTTTTATTTTTGTCGATGTATAGGTTTTTTGATATCGGTTAGGCAGACTCCTTGTTTTGTTGGACTAGATATGGCTATATTCGTTTCCATTATCTAGTCCAACAAAACAAGGAGTCTGCCTAACCGATACATATCTATAAAAAGCTTTTCTCGATCACGAATTTTATCAAAAGTTTAAATATTTATAAAAAACAAATTCTATCGGCTGTTTGGGTAGATTGCCTGAACAAAAGACGCTCTGTAATAGCGAAAAAGTAACAAGAGCTTGAAAAATTTATCAGTCCTGTTAGGTCCTGCGTAGCGTAGTGGTTAGAACAGTCACCCGGATTACGAAAGCTCATGGGTTTGAATCCCATCTCAGAGTGCCAGGAACAAAGTGGATAAGAATACGTTTAGAATATTTTAGTTGAATGATAAAAAATACTATTTTATAAATTTAAGCTTTAGCTTTTTATCGCACTGTTAGCATTTTCATAAATTCTAGAGATCAATATAATGATTAGACCGATCGATTGCAGGCTGTAACGCTGACCAGTTCCAGTGCTCCAATGGACAGTGTATACCATCGACCGCATTCTGTGATGGTCAGCGGGACTGTCCGGATTTCTCGGATGAACTCGGGTGCCCAGCAGTGACGCGCCCATGGACGACCACCATACGCTACGAACGACCAGAACCAACGACGCCCACCACCACGACTCAACGCTTCACCACCCGGCCCGTCACAACAGAATCCAGTGTGTGGGAGCCGAGACCCACCGACAGAGAAAATGGCTATAACTATCCTTACCCAGTTCCTCCAAGAAACCAATACCCGTCACCACAAGGTATGTCATTTGTATCAAGACCATTGCAAAATTCTCAAATATATTATATATATATATATATATAATTATTATAATTATAGACTCTTAAATATGGGAACGCTAATAGTCGATGATGATGATTATAATAAGTGCTAGAATATAGCCGAAAAATAATTCCTTTCAAGCTAGATTTGTTTTTAAACCGACATATCAGATGGGTGCAAGCGGAACGAGTGGCGTTGTGAAAACGGCCCATGCATTCAATCATACCGGCGTTGCGACGGACGTATCGATTGCCCGTTTGACAGCAGCGACGAGCTGGACTGCCCGCCAGGCAGTAAGATCATGAGCCGATCCGTCACTCTTGACCTAACGCCATCGCAACGGCCTAAAACTATCACGATTTAACGACTAACTAAATGTTAAAAATTCTCTTATATTTCTTTGAATTCAGGGACCCGACCAGGATGATAAATATTTCTCTTTATGATGTAGTGAAGACGCTATTTAGACTATTATCAAGTTTTTTCATAGTTAAAATATAGTCGGTTAATTTTTGAGTTCAAAGAAATGTATCTCTATTTGCGTATTAATAAATAATGCGGCTTATAATTTATTGGTCTTTTGCGATCTCATCAAAAGACGCGTATCTTATTAACAAGCTGGTCTTTAGTAGGTTCACATTCGAGTTAATAGGGAAAATTAACGATTCTATAACTTTGAAAAACAAGCAGTAATACATTACACATTGATAAATATTACACATGTCATGAAAGCGACAATGGACTTCGTATGGACTTCGTCGTATGCTAAAAAATCATTTCTGTGGTCCATTAGCATTTGTAAAAATAATTATAATTTTCGTTTTTATTTAATAGTTATTGATATCATTTTCCTAGAAACTGTAGATTAGGAAAATAAAACACTTACGTTTATGTACATAATTAGAAAGCTGCATTTGTAGTCATACAACAGTCACCATACATAAAGATTTTGTTAAAAAGACACATTCTGCTATGAACTTTAAGTCATTCAAATTTTCATTGCTGCCGGAATTTTTAACGGTCCACCAGCATTAATTGGCCTGACCAACATTACTAAATGACGTAAAATTCTTAGATGGACATTTTGTTTTTTGTTCTTTTTGATTCTTCTATCAATATTCTTATTTAGTAAAATTCGTAACCGCTTTCTAGCAGTCACATACTCGTAGATTATATTAACTGCGTTATATTGCACTTCACATTATACTTGATAAAAACAAAGCTCTAACGGTCAGTTGCACAAACATCTATTACGGTTTAATGACGCCTTTAAGCCCTAATGAATGGCAAAATTGTATCGGTAATGTCGCTTTAAACTACGATAATAAAATTTTTAATGGTCGTTTGTGCAACTGGCTGTTAGTCATACTATTGACGTAGATATACAAATATAACTTAAAGTGCGATATATTATTATCGGGTATTGTATTTATGTTATCAGTTTAGTTCTACTCAAAAACAAGTAGTTTTTATATATAAGCCGTGTTATATATAATGCTGATCTGTGTCTAACGTTGTTATTATAACTCACAAGTTTGATCTTTGGAACTTTAAAACTAACCAATAACACGAGTTGGAAAAAAAACAGGTTTGGTTATTACTCACTTTAATAGGACCGAAACATTCCCATATAATTAAATTTAAAAAATAACAAAATTCACCATCGGAATTCAAGTCAACATATGATCCGATTAGAAATAGTACCAATATCGAAATCGAGTGTATACTTGGGAAAAGCGAAAGCTTATAATCAGCTCATTCAATATTTAGACAATTTTTTTTATTTATTTTGGCATCAAAAAGTCATGTTAAATAAGAATAATTTAATTTTCTGAATAATGCTGTACCTCAGCTCCCCAAACAGAATAAAATAAAAAAATAATATAAATTTTTAACCTTAGATTACAATAATTCTAACCAAGGTGGTTGTTTTGACGACCAATGTTTCACATAATAATTTCTATTATATAATATCGTCAAGCATTGTAATTTGATCTGTTTTATTATACTTTCCAGGTCCAGTAGCATTGAACTTGAAGACTTATCCACCAGAGCAAGTGGTTCGAGATGGTAAGGACACATTTTTTTTTTACCTAAAACCGATGCTATATTTATATCAACTGATTGTCCGTTTGAAATTTGAAATATTCTACTAATATTATAAATGTAAAAATTTGTTAGGTTGTATGTTTTCTATTCGTCCACGCAAACGTCTCAACATATTTTGATATAATGTGGTATACAGATTATTCTAAGTCTGAAACTACTTTTCTCTCACTAAACGGTTTCCAAGTGACGACGCGGATAAAGCCGCTGATGAAAAGCTAGTATATATTACTTAATTATTAGCGGTATGTTATGTTATACGATATGTTATATTTTTCCTTTTTTGTTGTTTGTATTTAAAACCTATACCTAACGATCTTACCTATGGAAGAAAAGCAGCCTTTGATAGATGGATACCAGATGTCTTTGCTGTTTTTTTGTGTTATTTGTTTGTTTTTGTATTTGTATGAGTGCAGTATCTGTGCCTCAAATCACAGAAATATCTACTAAAAATCAGCGCCGGTTATTTTTTGTAATTAATCTCTTATAAATACTTTTTATTTTATTCTAATCATTGTGAAGCATTAACATAAAATTAAAACAGATACATTATTTGAAATAGTATTTCTAAACTAAACTGTATTCAGTTTTAATTATGAATAAGCTTTTCTTTGTTACAATAGCTGGATTTCTTCGACTTTATCTGCCTATGTCACCGTGTATGATGTAGCTTTTGCAAAGTGAAATATTCAAATCGGTCCAGTAGTTTCAGACCTATTCAATGCAAATAATTAAACAAACGATCATTTTTTTAATGATATTTGTAAAGATAGCACCAGCGTCAAAAATCAATATCAATATCTACAAAATTGAGTAACTTTACCTATTTGTAACATCCCTAAAATAACTTTAATGTAGGTAGTGGTAGAAGTAACATAAAGTGTAAAAAATATATTTTTGTAAATATTTTCTACCCCAAAGGCATACAAAACAGGTGAGCTATCAATGCTGCTCTTGAGGGTAGTCTTTTAATTAGAATTTAAAATCTGCAAAATATTTGAAATGATAAAAAAATGCTTTGATACTATATAATATTGTGCAAGTTGTTTAGCTATATCTAAGTCACATTAGATTTTTATGATTTCGTAGCTTAAAAGAATATATTTATGTATTAGCTTTTTATGAAGGTATTAATAGATTTTTCATGATGGTGGAGGTAAACTGGATCTAATAAGGTCCACACCTAACAATAATAATTAAATTGTGTACTTATAATTAATGTAAGCGTTATCTGTTTCATGGTGGCGGTACAGCCATTTATCCCTATGGTGAGTCGGAGGACTGAATATAAATTTGGAATGCACAATGGGTCTTAAAACGTAACTCGTGGGTTTTTTATTATATTTCATTAAAATTAATGGTGTGTTTTTATTTGACACTGACAGGTTTAACTTTAATATTTGTGTGAAGAAATGGGTTGAGTTTTTCTGTAACATGGTTGATGAATTTAATTTATTAATATGATATATCGATAAAACTTTTTTAACATTAGACTGCATTCGCAGCGTAATCCAAAATCCTTGGGTTTGTGTTTAATAATCTCTGGTTTTTTTTTATAAAATTAACGCATCTTATAACGGAAGTAACTAAAACTAGTACCTTTTTATAATAACAATGATATTTGGTAATGATGGATTTCTTGACACTTTATTAGTAGTTGAATTTATACTTAACTTAACATTATCTCGATTTTTTTTTGTGCACGATACAATGGGCGCATTTCTTTTCAAATATATGTATTATACATCTCGAATTCATAATCATTTTATCATAACCTATCTTATGAAATAATAACGAATATGGGTGTTAAATATTTTATATTCCATCACGGTAACCCTTGATTAATTGGAAACAAATCACATCGCCCATCATACATTCTCCACAATATCTGATAAAAATATATCACTAATAATTTACCCATTATAATATTTATATCTATTTATGTTTACAGGCATATAATTAAAGGCATTTCAATCACTTTAATCAATCGGTTATTCCATCTATTGCTCCCGAATATAGGTATATATCTTCCATATTGTATGTTGCGATATATAGGTATAGAACAACAGTTCTTTCTACAAATCGCATATCAAATGAAACACATTTTTTTGTCTTGTTATCTCAAAGACTGCTTTAACTTGCTATTGCCAATGAAGTTATAAACTTCCGCAAACAATTTGTTTATAACTTTCTTCTTCTTCTTGATATGCCACTCCTATTGCCATTTTTATTTTTGAGGCTGCAGCTTGTAACAGGGCTGTAGTGGCTCCATCCCAACCAATTCAATAGTCGTCTTCTTCCAGCTCTAAATTTTCTCATAATTTTTCCCGAAATTATGAGATGAATAATTCTGTATTTGTCCTCATCACGTGGTTAATTTAATCAGAACTAATCAGCAACTATCAGTACTATGGCAATTCAAAATTTATCACGTTTGAATTGCCATATATGTTGTTGCTGATTAGTACTGAATGTAAAAATATAAACTGCGATTCAGCACGATGCGTAGCTTATATTCTTCCACGATTCAGATGAGCATAAGTCGACAGTCAACTATACTGCTCGTATAGGTGATACTGTATTTGGAAAGATATAGTAAAAAGAAGCAAAGAAGATTTTGATTTTGTTTTTGATTAGCCTTGTTTATTTGGGAATAAGAATACTCTTGAGAACTATTTTTATCAATTTGTTTGTATTTATATTTTTTGTACTAAAAAGGGCAATGGGCAAATTAAGATGGAGGTTGGCGCATTTCGCAAAGAAAAAAAAGTCATATAAAATGCTCATGTTATATCCACTCCAGTTAAAATTGGGAAAACTACACTTGAAGTTGTCGAATATCATGTGTACCTTCAGCCCAGCTAGGCATGCTCAACTTCAAGAAAGAGATCTCTGACGACATCGATTGGGAAGCTCCAAAAAAATCTTTGGGTCCGAGTCACAAACTCATATTCTTCGACCCGTGTCTGTTGCCTGATAACCTTCAGAAGTGAAACGAGATCGCTTACTATGGGTCTCATAAGAAGTTTCAAGATCACCAAGAGGGCAATGCTTGGTGTTTTTCTTATAATCGAATAAGAAGCGAGGATATTCGTAGGAGAAATTAGATAATCACTTTGAAAAATGTGCCAATCCGCCAATTATCTTTGTACTGTGTACCGACTTAAATGCTGATTTTTATATTCAAAGCCGATACTTATTGTGAGGTCCCATTTAAATTTGAACAAGATTATTCCAGTACTTTTGTTTTCGCTGAAGAAGATATAAAGATTTCTTTACTTCCATGATGATGATGATCTTCCATAACAATCCGTTGATTCTTCGTAAACTCGAAAAATAATGAGATTTTACCCCGTTTCTCACAATTATTTAAAATTGTAAGCGTCACGTAAAATCGCAAGAAATGCTCATTGAATAAACTTGCGAGTTCTTGTAATGCGTCACTTGTAGACGCATTACAAGAAACTGCATGGCATCATCGCAACGCAGTTTATTATTTTTTCCCTAAGTGAATTACATATTGGTGTATTTCTAACGAGCAATATATGGAGTAAACGTTTATAATCCATTGCCTGATATCATCTGAACAAAATGAATGCTCAATGGAAATGCAGAGAAAAATTCGTTTGGGCATCACCTTGACTTTTGTAGGAGGTGATGTGGTGTTCCAATGTCGCGACGAAGGTCCCCAGAGGGCTCCCGTCAGGTGGATAAGAGAAGGAGGTCGACCACTAAAGCCTGGATCGATTGACAAAAATGGACGATTAGATATGAACCAAGTAACGGTAAGACGTATTTTTAAATAATTGTTAAGTTTTATTTATTTAAACTTAAGAATTATATGAAATTGAATCCTAATTATAAGGTAAACATTTTCGCCTTCTATTTTAGACGTCAGACAGTGGAACTTATATTTGCCAAGCGGTGAACTATGTAGGATATCCTGGTTCTGAGATAAGGGTAGTTCTTAACGTGGATGCATCGCGTGAGTATATTTAAAGCATGTTCAAATAATAGAAAAAAAATCTTAGAATTACTTACTAGGAAAGTGAAAGTGTAGCGAAATAAAATTTTTGTCAATTATAAAAAAACTATCTAGTAATTTGATCGCAGATCAACATTTTGATCGCAGTGTGTTACAGAATTGACTAGTAAGAACTTAGGTGCACAACTAAAATATAATCATTATCATATTTAAGTTGTATTTTTCTACTCAAATAAAATCTCAGGAAACAAAGTAATTTTGACAAATTTAGATTTTTTCCTATAATAAATTTAAAATATTTTAATTTCAAATCCTTCACAAAATATCGTAACATTTATGTATAATATCGTTTTAGAAAGCCTTTTAAGACATAATTGTTATGTTTAAACAAGATATTAAAATGTTTACAGCTGTCACGTTGAGACCACCAGGTTTGACCTGCCAAGCATTTGAAGCCACCTGCGGCAACGGTCAATGTATACCAAAATCGGCTGTTTGCAATGGTGTCATTGATTGTGTGGACAGAAGTGACGAGGACAATTGCTGTAAGGGAAATATATTTTTACTATATATTAATTGCCTTTGATTTGATTTTAATAATCTATCCATTTTCATCTAGTTGTGAATGGCAAATGTGAACCGAACCAATTCAAATGCAACAACAATAAGTGCGTCCTGAAGACCTGGCAGTGTGACTCTGAGGATGACTGCGGTGATGGTTCAGACGAAGTAGACTGCGGTTATGTCAGTCCAGGACAGTGCAGGACGGTCGAGTTCACGTGCGCCAGTAACGACCAGTGCGTGCCCAAGAGCTTCCATTGTGACGGCCAGAGCGATTGTATGGACGGATCTGATGAGATCGGATGTGGTCAGTTTATACTATGTTATACTATTTTGTATACGCTATCTTTCTCAATATAGCGAGTAGTCTAAGAATTACTGTCTAGTGTATCTAGATTGAATGTTGTGTTCAGTTTCTGAAGTTTTATAATGTAACGGAATAATCGACCATCACGACGTTTCACATCAGACTAACCAAATACAAACAAACAAAACAAACCAAAGCACAAATAAAACGTTAGTTTTAATTAAATTATGTTATATTACAGCCCCCGTTTACGTGACTTCGCCTCCCAAGCCGTCTAATCTGTACCTCAATGTGGGTGATACTCTGATTCTAAATTGCTCGGCTACCGGCGTTCCGTCACCGGTTATCACATGGAGACGCAACTGGGGTGATGTACCAGACACTTGCACCATGCAAAACTTGAACTCGAATGGTCAAGTCGTTGGCATCCTCACCTGTCTAAATATGTTGGTGAGTCATTTACAAACAATTACTCAAAACACAATGAACCAATCCACATTGGGCCCGTGTTGTGGATTATGAATCATTTTCCCTATTCCATTCGGTTCCATCCATACGGAAGGTTTATGCCCAAGTGATATGGACATTAACTCAGGTGATGTGCTCTAAATGTAATCATACTTTTATAATTTTCCTTTAGAGCACTTGTTCATTTTCTCGTAAAGGTTTCTTTGTACAAATATTTACATAAAGTATTTGTAAACTGTTGGCACAGCTTACTTACATTAACAAGTGGTTATTTTGTTGCAGCCTGAATACAACGGTGCTTACTCATGTGAGGCTATGAATAATAAAGGCACAATATTTGCTGTACCTGACGCTATTGTTTTTGTCAATCAGAGTAGCGTATGTCCCAATGGTTATTTCAACAGGTAAACTTATATTATGTTAATTATTATGGAAAGATTATGCCTAATTATTTTTTCTATGTCGCGTGTGTAAAAATTAGACTGAAACCTGGTATAAGTAGTAGATTAATATTACCATTAAAACTGCAAGTTTAATTAAAATCATTTTCCTAAATACATCATGATAATACATCTACCTACATATTTTATGTTAGGACGTATTGGCAAATTATTTCTATACTATAAATATTCCACATATTATTGTATTATGTTACACCTTCTTTTAACCGGGAAAATGCGTTATAAGCAATCTCACCTGACGGGATGGCAGGGGTTGTGTATGTCTCTCTTCCGCACAGTAATGGGACCTACCTACCAAAAACCGACTTGATTGATGTGGGCCAATTGAAGTCTGTATATTATGCTCTCGTTGAGTCGAAATTGAGGTATAGCGTAAATTTTTGGGGAAACAGCTATTCTTATAATATGAAAAATGCATTTGTACTGCAGAAAATGGGCAATACGAACTATGGTGCGCATACCGCCATGGGAGTCTTCTAGGGAACATTTTAGAGACCTTAGTATACTTACTCTCCCTAGTCTTTATATATTGGTTGTCGTAATGGATATTTTGAAGCATAATTATAAATACGAAACGGCAACATCTAGGAAGATGAGATTAAGTAGTAGAAGAAAAGACATACAAATTTCGCTTCACCCAAAATTAAATATTGTAAAACATTGTAGTCGATATCAGGCAGTCAAACTTTTTAACGCCCTGAGTTTTAAATTTAAAACTAAATTGAGGCAACTTCTGTTAGACGGTTCTTTCTATACGTTGGAGGAGTTCTATAGTGGTCAGTGCATCTTACTTACCCAACGGATAATTAATAAAAACTACCATTTGTTATTTAAACATTATGTTTAAGTGTCTGCATGATTTTTATGTAATTTTATTTTGATTTGTTCTTGTACCATTCAAATACAATTGTAAAAAATTGTTAATGCTGTAATGCTGTATAAATTATAATAATAATAACCTCGGAAAAGCCCTTGAATGTATGATTGAATCCGGACATAGCCAACCAATCCCAAATATTATCTTAGGTACACCTATATCTCATAGGAGTGATATTATCAATAATACATTGAAGGTTATACTCCTTTAAAAAACTGAACAGATAGTGATTATAAATAAATAGGTTCTATAAGGTAAAAGTCAATATAGAGTCGTAAATGCTACTCTGTCAAATATATAAAATTTACATAAAATGTCTTAAATTTGTTAAGTATTAAATATACTTTACAACATAAAGTAAACTCTTTTCAAAAATGCATTATTTCATCTTTTAGTGAGGCTCGCTCCGAAAGGGATTGTATCCGCTGCTTTTGTTTCGGCGAATCAACACAATGTCATAGCGCAGACTTATTCACGTACAATATGCCTACGCCACTCGGAGAAGGCGGCACCAGACTGGTCGGTGTGAAAAACGCAGCCAACGGCGAAGTACAACTTGATACCCAACATATCACTGAACAGTACTATTACCAACCTCTGAGGAACGGCGCGACTGTGAGTATACAATTCAAAGCATTGATCCATAAAATTGTCCTTGGTACCTTTTCTCAGATATCTTATTTTACAAAAAAAACTACAGGTTACGAAACTGGCTCGTTTCAACTCTTGGGGTTGGTCTAACACCTTGCCGTATCTTACACTGCCGGAAACATACAACAGCAACCAACTAACTTCGTATGGTGGACACATTCGCTACAGAGTTACTCCTCATAACTTTGGGTCTGATGTTAGCGGACCAGATGTCATTATTAAGGTTTGAACTATAAATTTTCAATAGTTATGCTCTCAAATTGTAATAGTTTTTATGTGTACAAACACAGATAGTATTATTGTGATAGAATTATTAAATGGCTTCAATAAAAATACCGATTTCTATAGGGAAAGTACCAAAACTTGGTGCATTTTAACCGAGGCAGTCAGTCTGAAATTGAAGCTCGTCTTACTCCTGAAAACTGGCAAAAACCCAGCTCAAGAGGACTTATGCCTGCCACAAGGGAAGATATTATGATGGCGTGAGTAAACTAATAAAAATACATCCTAAATATTCAAGATGATAATAAATCTGTAAATACTTATCAACAACATGTTCTTTGCTCAGTTTGGACGACATTGAGATGATTCTACTACGCGCGAGTGTGAATAACGCTGGTGTAAACATCACGGACTTTGTTATGGAGTCAGCGCGACACATCAATATGGGTCTCGGTGTCGCCAGTCTCGTAGAGGAATGTACTTGCCCGCCAGGCTATGAAGGCCTCTCTTGTCAGGTAATGATGACTCTTGAACTTGTTTTGTGTAGTCTTATTCGGTAATAAAAATATCTATAATACAATAAAATGACATCTGGACAGAAATGCGCACCCGGATATGCACGAGAGTCTTCAGGAGCGTGGCTTGGCAACTGTGTCCGTGAAAGGCCTACTTGTCCAGCTGGCACGTATGGTGATCCAGCCAGTGGCTACGCCTGCCGTCCCTGTCCTTGCCCACTCACCAACCGGGAAAACCAATTTGCTAGTTCTTGTGCAATCAGACCAGACGGAAACGTCGTTTGTGATTGTGCTTCTGGGTAAATATACCACGTAGATAATTTTGCAAGAACACCACCATAGTAAATAAATACAACGATTCTCACTATCATAATATAAAGCTTTTAGTATTAGTATTATGAAAAATGATAAACGAAGATACAATGCCACTCCGACCCGAAACAATATAGAAATGATTATATTTAATTAATTTTGCGTTCACAATAAAAAAGTAAAAGTGTAAAGTAGCAAAAAAGAAACAAGTGCTTGAAAAATTCGTCAGTCCTGTTAGATCCTGGGTAGCTCAGTCGCCTGGATTGCAAAAGGTCATGGGTTCGAGTCCCGTCACAGAGTAACAGGGACAAAATGTATTTTTAAGCATTTATCATTTATTCTAATCATTATCTAATTTAATATCTTACTTTTTTTAAATGTTGTATTGTATAACAGGTATGAAGGCCCTAATTGCGAATACTGTGCACCTGGCTACGTTGGCAACCCGCTGCTTCCTGGTGACTCTTGCAAGGCGGTGCCTACCTCTACATGTAACCCCATAGGAACCAGTCATATACGGCTACCCGACGAATGCGAGTGCAAAGACAACGTACAAGGCCCTTACTGTGACGAGTGCAAGAATGATTCATTTTATCTCTCCTCTGATTTCAGGTAATAGTTAATATTTTAAAGAGTATTTTAAAGAATTCAAACCTAAAATAATTCAAATCATTATTTGTTTGTTTTACATGTCTCATATCATAATTCTAATGTATTTTACACTACTACTGTATATTATATTAATGTATATATTTTGAAATCTTAGATTTTCGACATAAGATAACATTATTTGAGATGTTAAATTATGATCATATAATCGTGTTTCAGACAAGGATGCGCTCTATGCTTCTGTTCGGGAGTATCCCAGCAGTGTAGCAGCAGCAACCTACGTAGAAGTACGACAACTGTTATCTTCAACACGCCCGACATCGTCAACAGGCTCCGTGTATACAACAGCGCTCCCTTGGGCGGCCAAGAAGCGGCCAGATACAACGCGCCCACCGAGACCAATCTAACAGCTGTACTCGCTGCTGGAGAGGTCACGCTTACAGATTTCGACAGATCCAAACCGAGTATCTATTATTGGAGCTTACCTGCAAAGTAAGTATTGTTATACTTAAGGCATTTGCTTTTCTCTCATAATGTATGTTAATGACTTTATTATAGTCGGTCGAGATGTTTTGTCGGTTTTATTTATGCTACTAATACAATAATGTTGTAGCTTTGCTGGTGACAAAATGACTTCGTACGGTGGCTATCTCAGTTACACGCTGCGCCATGTTCCCTTCCCGGGAGGAAGCAGTTCTAAAAACAACGCTGCTGACGTGCAACTTGTTAGTGTAAGTATAAAATGATATGAACTTTAAACATATTATATTTATACTCATATCACCTTCAGCCTGTTGAACCACAAGTGTTTCGTATGAGTGGAATCACGTAGGTGTGACTGGGCATACAAAACCTGCTATACCTGCCTGCCTTACGACTGTTCACAAAAGGCTTAATATGCTTTTCGAAGCATAAAAGAGCTAAAGGTTTTACATTTTGGTCACCAATCCGATGGTTGCCCAACGTGAAAGTTGCCCTAACCGAGGTCTAATTCCTCGTTCTTTGTTATTTGACATCTAATGTGACATTATACAAGAATTAATAAAACATACCTATGTCGTGAGATACCTTGATGAGTACCTTATTTTCCAACACTAATTGTTTATTTTGCAGGAAAATCGTTTGACATTCCATTATTTCGGCAATTTTGAGCCTGATTTCAACGGTAATTTGGAAGCACGAGTGCAATTCTTGGAAAAAGGATGGCAAAGGTAATAAAGGACTTAATCAAGCATGGGTGTATGCACATACATCCTGTAATATAATAATAAAAATATTATACTGGGAGGAACAAAATGACCGACACAGCCGAAAGTTTCAAGTTAGGTTACATGCAAACGTTCATTTTATTTGACAAATATTTCAAAATAGATGAGGTGTAAAAATGGAGTAAAAATTTTAAATTTCTAAGTGTTGACAGCCCTACAACGCGCATGCGCCATATCGATTGTTTAATTTAATTATTTACCGATATCTTAATGATAGTCGATGCTGAAAATGTCCACTTCCTCTCTGAAGACTGAGCTAAGCACGCTCTTTTCAATGCCGCTGTATGCACGCGCAAAACACATCACATTTCACACAAAACTAAACACAATCTTCACTAAACTAAACTTAACACTCAAAACGAACACTAGTATCTTATTAACTAAAATTCAATTAAAAATGCACTAGAACAAAACAAAAATCGACAGAAAAGACGCTTCGCAGCGGTGCGTCGGCGGCGATTTGCAACAACACTCCAGCGCAAAAGGTCGACGGCGACTGATCGGCCGGAAAATATCGACAGAATAATGAAGCCGTCTGGCGGCTGGCGGGCGGGTGGGGCTTTGATATCGAGGGACGAACTCGGTTCACATTTTTTTTATTCGTCTTTTGATATCACGCATTTTTAATGTTCTTTTTAAATGCTATTTTAATAACAAATTCCATAATGTTTTTAGACAAAGTTCATTTGTGTTAATGATGAATCGCTGGAAGATTTGTGAGTTTATCGAGTTTAATTAACGATCCCGTTGTTAAAGGAGTATTACCCCATTCAAACAATTTTTTTGGAGAACTGCTTTTTTAAAATAACGTAGATTAATGTTAGACTGATCTCTCTACAATAATTTAGGAAATTTTACACTCGGTTTCTTAATTGAGTATTTAAAGTTAAACGTCTCAAACTAACATCGCTTAGTTTTCGTTTTCGATTTCAGTTTTTTGATGATCAGTTGAAAACAGTTTGATAAAACTAAGACTATTTGACCTGTGAAATAAAAAAAAACTTAGGTTATTGAGAATAAGCAGTAGAAATTTTCTACTTTTTTCAAATTATAAGCCGGCTGTTAGTCTGTAAATCGATTTAAGCATTTTGACTGCCTTGTTTATTGATTGTCTGATAGAATTTGCATGAAAGCAGTCTTATAAATCACAAACTAGTTTCTTTCGTTTTTAGAAATGAAGAAGTCAATGACCGATTAAAAACTTTTCCTTAGTACGTCCCAAAAACAGCTGACTCAGGGTTGAAAACACTCATTTTTTTTTCAAAAACTTTGTTATTTAATATCTCCGAAACTATTTGACCTAGACTTACAATTTTTTTTACATCATATTAAAGACAAATAGTACTCTCCAGGAACCTCGGGAGTGTCGGTCGTTCTGTTCCACCGAGTATTTTAACTTTTGACGTATAATACTGAGATTGACTTTCTTTCAACTAAATAATAATATCAGCGTAAATATCAAATGCCACATTAAATATAATTATTTTAATTGTACACGTTTTGGATTATGTGCAGACTTCATGGTCCCTAAACTATGACAATGGTCAAGATACCACAGAGCCAAGAGAGCCTGTACCTCTTGATCCGAAACATCTATCTATCTAGCCGTATGTACATATGCTGAGATCTTTTCAACAACACAATGAATTTAAATGCGGTTTTCATTAATATACAGTGTGATTAAAAAGGGTTCATTATATATATAATACGGGCGATGTCGCTGGCAGAATGCTAGTGTATATAATTTTTTATATTCGTTTTTAAATGTGATTTTGCGAATTAATAAATAAATTGTGTTTTTAGGCCCGACGGAAAGGAAGTGTCTCGTGAACATTTCCTTTTAGCGTTGGCTGATGTAAAAGCTATTCTGGTAAAGGCAACGTACACAACCAACTCACAACTGGCCTCTCTAATGAGCGCAAGCATTGAAACAGCAGAACCTAACGGCAATGGACCAGCAGCGTTACACGTTGAACAGTGTGTCTGCCCTAGAGGGTACATCGGAACTTCATGCGAAGATTGCGCGCCTGGATTTACCAGGTAACTTATATTATCCATAATCTCTGAAACGAAGCAAAAGTTACTGCTTTAGATCTCTCTCCTGTTACCTTTAGGGAGCCAACATTAATTCTTATATTTTATGTCTTCTCTTCGCTTGTTCTCTTGCTATATTTTATTGGTTTTTAATTACGATTTCCGATAAAACTCTATCAAATTTATTAAGATGTTTAATTATTTGACCCTTAGATACGAAAGTGGGCTCTATCTCGAGCATTGTGGTCCATGCGAATGTAACGGCCACTCGAATAAATGTCACCCAGAAACTGGTATCTGTACGGTAAGTTTAAGCTAGCAGATTAATTATCTGTAACTTTTGTAGATAAACAAGAAATAAAACATGAAATTAATAAACGCAAACTGTGAGAATACGTAAATGTATTTGTTATTATACAGGACTGTCAAGACAATACATATGGCGATAACTGCGAACAATGTAAGCCTGGCTTCAAACGTGACAGAGCTAACAACTGCGTGCCTGATTATGTTCAGCGACCACCGCCACCTGAAAATATGTAAGTATGCGAAAGTTTAGATTAATCAAATAAAAATGGTAATATTATTGCAGTATTTCTTGTTTTTTAAGTTATTTTAATAATAATAAATAGATATTTAACTAAAGTAAACTTCCAGCTGTGATCCCCGCGGTTCAGTCGATCCTTACGCCCGCTCCGGCTATTGTGAATGCAAGCAGAATGTGGAAGGTCAGAACTGCGACAGCTGCCGTCGAGGCACTTTCGGCCTGGATGCCAACTATCCCCTCGGTTGTTACGAATGCTACTGCTCAGGAGTTACTTCTGACTGTTATGAGGTGCTTTAATTTTAATCAATTTCTTTCGCTCAATTTCTTCTAAATATCAGTTAAAATAAAATAAGACTAAGTTAAAATACTCAATTTAAAGTAAATGTTTATTGTAAATGGTCATTATTATATATCTTTTTATTGTTATATTTCATATTAATATTACTAACGTTATATCTTTTGTAATAATATTTACTTACATAAAATATAAAGTAAACAAAAATAACTCAAATACTATAACATTAGAATGATGAACTGGAGAACTTGAAATGTATTAACGACTGATTTGCCGAAATAACATGAATTGTATCGAATGAAATTACAACTCCGATCTCGTGTTTTTCTTATGACAGATTCTACGTTTTGGTTGGACTCAAAACGCAATACATTATGAGTTACATTTAACGTACCTTCTTTTTTGCAGGCTTCTTCTCAATATTACCGTATTCCGATGGCAGCACCAATCTTTGGTCCTGATTATGGTGGCTACAAACTGATGGACTTGAACGCTGAACGCGTTGTCAGTGATCACATAGTCTCCATGCCCTTGAATAGCGAGCTCATGTATGTCTTCGACTTCCCACCGGATGAAGAGCTTTATTGGTCCCTGCCCAATTTCCCAGGTAAACACTATACACACCACACACATCTTGTATCCATAAAATTAAATTTTATAAGAACAGCTTTGAATTCAGAACAGCTTGAAAAGTTTTACATCCACTAAATTAAATTTTATAAGAACAGTTTTGAAACATTTCAGTATAACTGTATTGTTTATATCAGTATTACAGTATAACTGTAACTATATCAAATAAAACTGTTATATTATACAAGTTCACCGAGTTCTTTCTTTATCAGGCAATCGAGTGCTTTCCTATGGTGGTACATTGCAGCTTAAACAAAAATTCGAGAGTCGTGCAAAGTTCATCGCAGAACCTGGAACTGACATCATCTTGGTCGGCGACGATAAATCTGTATACTGGACAAACCCTGAACCTATCACAGCTGGACAAGTCTTTGTGAGTTACTTAAGTATTGAAGTGACCCGTCTATAGCACCTGAGTTTATTGAACTTTTTTTGATTTTATTAAATTGAACCGATTTTATTGCTCGTAGAATATATCTTAACTAATGTGGATTTGCCGTGACTTAAAATTGGAAAGTCTTTGTAAATTCTATTGAGATTTGGGATTTAACTAAAAATAGTAAATCAATTTCATTTTTTACCGGCAGAGCTTGCAAGTGCCGTTAACTGAGAGTAATTGGTTCCTGCTAAATTATGCGACACCAGCTAGCCGCAGTGACTTCATGTCTGTGCTACGTAATCTTAGAAGGGTACTAGTTCGTGCAACACTCGTAAGGAATATTGAGTCATCTTCTATTGCCGACGTTTCAATGGACACTGCTGGAGAACAACGACTGGCCGTTCCATTAGATTCCTCGTCGAGAGCTACGTCCGTAGAGGTGAGTCTACAAAGAACACCCTTTTTTGTAAAAAATATAAATGGAAGAAATGTGGTTAATTTCATTGGAATACTTCTATAATGGTAATACTTCTGGAATACGCTATGCATCAATATGTGACGGATTTCTTAATAGTAAAATAATATCAAATTCATCATCATCATAGATCTATCTACGATGATTAGCCTTGTGGTGATTAGTCTATAAGAGTCTTAAATCATTTGGATTTCGAGCTAATGTCACGGCAATTAATAGATGGAAAGACGAAAGCGATAATTTACGAGATTATACTCGTACTAAGACAACTTTACATACAAAACTCTAGCATATACCGAACATACAAATTTTCTTTTAACTTCCATCTGTAGGACTAGTCTTTCCCTCAAAATTGTTTAATTTCAGGGTTTTATATACATTTTTTATTTTATTTTATAGTATATCAATGTTTACATAATAATTGTCTAGTAAAAGTGGAACCTGGATCTAATTTCTTAATAATATATATATATGTGTAGGTGTGCATGTGCCCTGAGGAATACAGCGGCACTAGTTGTGAGCTGTGCTCTAATGGACATTACCGAGACCAGTATAGTCAATGCCAACGGTGTCCCTGCAACGGCCACGACTGCTACCTGACCACCGACTCGCAAGTCGTCTGTAACTGCCGCCCGCCTTATAGTGGCAGGGATTGCTCTATACTCGGTGTGTACAAACTAATCTTATTTTATATAACATTAAAAGAAACGTCAATTCGACATAAATATTAATTAATGTAAAGAGACTATTATATTTCTGATCTGGATATCATCTTATTTCTAGCTATGCTTAAACCATATCGTTAATATCGTATGAGCCTTTATTAATCAATAAACGTTTTATGATATCTAATAGTTACTTTGACTGTCAGGAAACAGTAAAAAAAAAAGTTTTAACATATTTGGTAAGTTGATCCTTAGACAAAAGGAATGTTAATTCCACTTTATTGCCGTTTGAGTTTTATTTCCCAGACGCGAAACAACCGCATCATTAATATAATTTAAACTTTATGAACCGGTAACAGGATTGGTAATGGAACTGCATCCAACTTTATTGGACGTCGGTGATGAATCGGTGTACCGCCGAGTTATAATTACGTGCAAGTATCGCGCTCCAGAGCCACTCACCATAATATTCTTCGAAGAGGGTCGGGAAGTTGGAGTTCCCAAGTACTATAATGAGTCAAGGCAAGAAAAAGACGGATGGCACGGAGAACACGAACTGTCCGCGTTGTGGGATACTCGCCACAAACCTGTCTTCGAATGCCATACACTCACTAGACAAGGATACACACTAGGGCTCTTATCGACAAGCCTCCCCGAGCCAGGTAGACGAGGCGACCTGTGTTCATGCTTATCGTGTCTCGTCATTTGTGGAAATTGTTTCGCCGAACCATCAAGCTTACACTTTGACAATCGAGCGTTGTTTATGTAGCTTTCGTATCAACGATACATCACTCATTATCTCATCCAATTATGATATGTTGTGGAAATGATTTCGTTTTTTTAATCCTTTTTTTTTTAAATTTTTTGTAAACCGTATATGTTTAAAAAAATATAAATGTCTATTCAAACAAGTTACATTAAATCGAAGAAATTTTGCATTAGTTTTTTATGGTTTCTTAAACAATCGGTTTTTAAAAAGCTTCTGCCATAAAATATTAATATGAGTAAATTAGTCAATGACGATCTTTGCAGGAGGGGAATCGAGCAAGGTAACAAATGCGACCACTCGTCCACCGCCGCCGCAGCCTACGGTGGTAGTCTACATTACATCACCAACCATCAAAATCCAAGAAGTGGGCAGTAGTGTGAACTTCACATGTTCAGCACAGAGTCGTATGACAAGGGCCGATCTTCCAATCACTTGGTCTAAGGTGGATGGATACTTGCCTCAGGGCAGGACTATCATAGACAATAATGCCGGCATGCTGCTTATCACCAACCTACAAAAATCAGACAGCGGAAAATATATCTGCCAAACCAGTGACGGCATGTCTACGGCTCAGGCGTATGCAACACTAAAAGTACCCGGTAAGTGGTACTCTTTATTATTGTGAAAAAAATATTAAAAAGTAGCTGCATTTTTTATATTATAATTTTATTTATGAAATTTAAGTACGATAAAATTATAGCAGCGACATTTTAGGTGCGATGATAATAATTAATATTTAAGTAATTGACTTTTATGCTATCAACTTGGAATAGTTGTACCGGAATGGGTGTTTTACGCCAAGGGTAAGTAAAATTCCTTAATTTACGAGTATAATAAGTATAACTATATACAGGAATAATTTAAAACCACTGCGAAGATTTTGTGAAAATAAACTTTAAGTAATTTAAACAAACACGTATTGTTTATTTAGATATGTTCTAATAGTAAAAAATAAAGTTATCGCTTATCAAAGATCGAGATTTTAAAACTTAATTTATGGACACCGCGCGCCGTAGGTATGTACTCGTAGGTACCTATCTACACAGGTCACTGACCGCTGATTTTGTTTGATTCGAACTAGATTTTATGCCATGATCTGAGGTGATTACTAAGAGTAATTCCAATTTTCCTTTCATACTTTTATGGTTAAGGCCATCAAAATGCAAAAAAAAAATAAAAGAGAAACAAATTCGTTACCTAGAAAAAAATATTAACGTTATGCCGAGGTTACATAGGTACTACTGCGTTAAGGCGTATTTAAAAAAAATGGAATCAACTACGTATTTACAATAATATTGAATCAAAAAAATACCTACCTAATTACTTACCATATATTTTAATATTTGTTGAAAATGAAGTCCACCTCTGTCCAAACATAAACATGCACATTTCATTAAAATTGTCATTTAATTTATTTAAAACACTAGTGTCACTTTTCACTTCACTAAAAACGTTATTATTTTTTATTGTTAAGTCTTCTAGACTTTATGCCTCCTCTACATCTCGGCATTTGACTTTTTACCATAAGAAACAGTCTCTCACGTGTGAACAATGCCTCATCAGTCCACAAGATGTTTGCATCGCGGTGATGTAGAAGCCACTCGCATAAGGCTCGACGTGGTACTGGGTCTAGGTAATGAAGCTGCTGAACCGGCTGTAAGTGGTACGGATGGAGTCCGGCTGTTTTTAGCAGCTTCAATACCGCAGGCTGGCTCACACCAAAGCGACATGCCGCATCGTGGCTACTGACTCTGGGACTTCGTCTGTTAAAATGTTTCGAAGTATTAGGGACCGCGGGGTTACGGATCCCAAAGGCTCGCATACGAGGTATGCTCTTCGTCGCATACTTTCTCCGAATTGCGCTTAGGTTCTCACTACTCAGAAGATAAACTCGTACCATCTCGTAAAACTCACGACGGCGGGCACGTCACATTGGCGCGTGCGTATAAGTCTCACTGCCGCCACTGTCGCGCGCGTCGCTCGGTCTCGGCGGGGCGGCGGGGGCTGTGGCGGGGGGCTGCCGGGCGCGGCGGGGATGCACGGTGGTATACGCAAGAGAAGACGTTTTCATTGAAGTTTTATTTTAAAAAATGTGTCCGTACCGTTTCAATAGGGATAAAAATATTTTTTTTTAAAATCCTGTATATATATATAATACCATATATTCTAGGTAACGACATGACCCTACCTACTGTGGAAATAAGACCACCAATAAACGACTACTTTGAAGGCGAGAGGGTACAACTTGAGTGTGTCACTAGCGGCAACCCTGCACCTCATATCACCTGGCAGCGAGCCTCCGGTCGACCACTACCGGTGTCTATTGAAATCATCGACGATCTGCTTATCATCGAAAATGCACGTGAAGAGGATTCTGGCGAATACAGGTATAGGATATTACAGATACTCTTTTTTAAATGTTTCATTACTTCTTTAATACTATTTCGGTTCCAGTAAATTTACGTCTCTTAAAAATATTTTGAAGTCAATACATAAATGTAATCTTTGCTGACTTATAATCGATTTATTGCCAAAAATTAATTGAAAAGCATTGTTTATCTTGCATAAGGACAGAGTGCAGTCTCTGCCTACACTCGTCATTCATTGCTTTCACATTCGTAACTGTATCACAGATTTTTATATTACTCAAATACGCTTACGGTTTTTTACAGCTGCTGACCTCACTTTCCGATAATACGTGATCAATCTGATTTAGGTGACTATGTTATAACGAGGTTGCTTTTTAATAGATGCATAGCGACAAACAGTCTCGGCTCGGTGGATCGTACGGCGATAGTGAACATCCGCCCGAGGCCTGCAGCGCCGACGCGCGATAAACTCACCGTCTCACAGAACTCGCCCACAGTCACCGAGGGGCAGAATACACGAGTCACCTGCACAGGAACAGCCAACGTACCGGCGGGCACCATTGACTGGGTCCGGTAAGTAACAAAACTGGTTAACTTTTTAGATGTGTTAAATGTTTTTTTTTACAAACGGTGTACTCCCTCAGTTGGTTGCCAATACAACATGGAAAAGATAGAAAGGATTTTCTCATATCAGAATTAGAGTCCTTTTTATTCTATTTTATTTAATACTATCAGAACCAGCATATATCTGTAAAAGATTAATCCTTTTTCAGTTGAACCGTAGAAGCCTAATCTATTACATAGGAAATTATACCCTGTAGGGAAAATTATAATTATTATATCAGAATTTTTAAAGAATATGTAAAGTAGGACTATTCATTTATAATAAAGCACATTTTTATCAAAGGAAATAGCAATCATAGTTGAATATTATAATAAAATAAATATAAAGAGTACTATTTTTAAACATAAAAAGCACCTTAAAAAATATTTCTTACAATTTTCTACATACAATTCAATACATTTTTGATATTTGAATATTAATGGCTAATCATACGTCTCCCAAACGTACATGCCATATATAATATATAACGGCGGGTAGTCGGAATGGGCTATTACGAAGCCCAAATAGATCGTCCATATCGGAGGACTATCTTTAAAATAACACTGCAGGCGTGGTATACCAACGTGGATTTGTTCCATTTTATCGCTTTTCTTACGAAAATATAACGAGATGAGCGTGATGTCGTCGGATGTCTTTACTCCTCGGTGATCGGAAATAGAATGTGTGCCAAAAATGGCGGCAATTAACTTTTGTTAACGAACTGTCAAAGTCAGTGTCACCATTCTAATAAAATTAGAAGTATCGATGATCACGCTCTCTCTACAATCGAGTAATTAAGTAATCGAGTAACTAGCAATTTAAAAAAAGTAACTGAATCAAGTGATCTTCGTAAAGATGATGCGATATATATAATTCAAAATGGCTATACTTATTTTTACTTATTTAAGTTCTTAATTGGTTGAACAGCATGATGCGCTAATTTCGCCCGTTACGGAAATATATTCCATTTCGTGCACGCCTTGCAGACGTAGATTAAAGTTCTGGTATTAATCATAATTATTAATAATTTTGGGTTAAGGTATTAATAATTATTTTTTGTGTATATTTAAAAAATAAAATTATGTCGGCATTAAATATGACCATATGATATTTGTTGACAGGCAAGATGGCACCGAGCTCGAGTCTAACGTTCGATCTGTGAACGGTGTTCTGTACATTGATTACGCGCGACTTAGCAACCAAGGTGTGTACGTGTGTCAGACCAGCTCGTACGACGTGCAGCCAGTGCGCGTAGTGGTCGCCGTCATACCACAAGGAACACCTAGACCAGAGGACCAGTCCAACATCACTGTGTCCGTCGACAGCCTGAAGATACCCTCCGGTGGAAGCGGATCCGTTGAATGTACACCTAGGGGCTATCCGTTGCCACAAATCACTTGGAGAAAGGTATCACATATTTGAACTTAATAACATTTATGCCCTTATAAAATAATTTCACTTACGAATATATTTATATACGAAAATGAATATTTTCAACAGGTTGCAAATATGTCTTAATATTGGTAGAATATCTATTAAAAGAATGATCAATCAGAATTATATATATATATTTTAATCAAAATACCTAAATTGTACAGTACAATGGAAAGTTTGGAGATGGTGTCAGCCAACGCCAGAATACGCTCATCATAAGGAACGCACGCGAAGAAGACCAAGACTATTACCTGTGCGAGGGTATAGTAGACGGGCGACCGGTTGCCAACATCTACGTCTACGTTGAAATCGAAAGTAAGTGCAGATCATCTATTAGATGCTTTAGTTTAAGCATAGTACTACCATAAAATAAAACTGACGTAACAATTTGCTAGAATCATTCAAACAATTAATAACATAAATAATTAAGTAAATCAAGAGGTGTATTCTTGATGACAGAACGCGAGGAGCCACAAATCGAGATCTGGCCACAAGGTGAACAAGCAGTGACCTTAGGTAGTCCTTTCGAGTTGCGATGTCGTATTGGCGCAGGAGTGCCGGAACCCGACGTCACGTGGAGCCGAAACGGTGGGCGAGCATTACCGCCGCACGCTCAGATACTTCCAAATAATATACTCAAGTAAAAACATTTTGTATTATACGAAGTTCTGAACAGTTTCTGTCTTTAGATCACTCAGGAAACTAACTACATACCTATTATCAGATTTGAACGCATTGAAGTGAACGACGAAGGTGAATATTCGTGCTCAGCATCAAACGTGGCAGGAACGGCGACCGCGAGTGCGACGATCAAGGTTCACTCCCAGCCTGAGGTGACGGTCATGCCCAGCGACTACATAAATGCGGTATACGGTGATCCGGTCATTGTGGAATGCAGAGCTAGTGGATATCCTCTTCCTATGGTCAGCATCAAAAGTAAGTTCAAAGTTTAAATATGATTTCAAAATATTGCAAATGCAAAATAATGTTAGTAAAACTTGAAAAACCTACGAGTATCAATGACATTATCCACTGCCATATAAAAATAAAAATAACACTGTCACAAAAACCACATCTCTGAGTCATTCGATGGTCTTGTTCGAAACTGATGGTAAAGAGATTGAGAATATTATTACTTGTTTAAAAAATAGTTCAGCTGCGGGTCTGGATAATATACCAACGTTAGTCATTAAAAGTGCTAAAGATGCTCTTATTCCACCATTAACATACATGTGTAATTTATGTTTGACCACTGGCGTCTTTCCAGGCATTCTAAAGAGAGCTCTTGTTCATCCCATTTACAAGGCTGGAGACAGGAATTGTATCGAAAACTACAGACCTATTTCAGTATTACCAGTTATATCAAAAATCTTGGAGAAAGTTTTAAATAGTAGACTCGTCAAATTTTTGGAACGCAATAACATCATTGCATCGAATCAGTTTGGTTTTATGAAAAAAAAGTCTACAGAAGATGCTACTCTATTGCTTACCGACACGATTGCTCAGCATCTTGATAATAACCTAAGAGTGACTGGAGTATTTCTTGACCTATCGAAGGCTTTTGATACGGTTTCTGTTCCTCTTTTGCTTGGAAAGATGGAGTCGGTGGGGATTCGTGGTGTTGCACTAGAAATGTTTAGGAGCTACCTTACTAATCGAACTCAATCCCTAAAAATTGAAAATTATACAAGTAAAGAGGCACTGATATCTTTTGGAGTGCCGCAGGGGAGCGTGTTGGGACCGACTCTGTTTCTTATATTCATTAACAGCCTATGTGAATTATCTCTCCCGTTCACCAAAATTATCACATATGCTGATGATACAGCTCTAATTATTCACGGCACAGATTGGAATCAAACTAGAATCCATACCGAATCGGCTCTTCTTGAGGTGGCAAAGTGGCTAAATCGTAATTTACTATCATTGAACATAAATAAAACGAGATATATCACCTTCTCATCCAGTAGCTCCACGCAACCACCAAACGACTTTCGTGTACGACTACACGGCTGTAGGAATATTGATGAGTGTAACTGCGACACGCTCACGCGTTCGCAAAATATAAAATATCTTGGGCTCACGGTTGATAATAACTTGAATTGGGGGAGTCATATTAAAGGTTTAGTAGGTAGAGTTAGAAAATTAATTCCTATTTTCAAACGACTCCGTAGTTCAGCTGATCTTGATACATTGATGTGCGTTTACTTGGCGCTTGTCCAGAGTTTACTCCAGTATTGTATCATTGCATGGGGAGGTGTAGGCATCACTACAATGCTTCCCCTTGAGCGAGCGCAAAGAGCTATATTAAAAATTATACTTGGAAAGCCGCGAAGATATAGCACGACTACTCTTTACAGAGAATCCTCAGTTATGACAGTTCGCAAGCTCTTTATTCTTTGCACGGTGCTTCGGAAGCACAAAGATATTGACTACCAAAGAGTATCCCAGGGTTACCAGAGGAGTGTTAGAAATGTGTGTCCAAGTGTACCGCACAAGACGTCTTTGGCTAGACGTCAATTTTATGTCTGTGGCTCTAGGATTTATAATGTGGTGCATAAGGTAAATAATATCCTTCCTCTAACCCTGTACAAATGTAAGCAAAGAATTCGTCAGTGGTTACTGGGTCTGAATTACAGAGAAACAGAAAATATTATCTTATAGATAAAAAAAAAATAAAAATAAAAATTAATAATAATAATAATAATACTTAAATATATATAAAAAAAAATATATATATAAGTAAAATATAAATAAAAACAGGTATATATTACAATGAATAATAAACACACATACACATACACACACACACATGCACACACACACACCAACACAACACATACACATACACATAGGTATAATTTTTGTAGACAACTTGTATAAGTTTTTTATTTGGGGTGGAAGACACTGGCAGTTGTATCACAGTTCATACTTCTACAGCTGTCAGCGTGATACCGTGTAAATTAAATTATAAGTTGTTTTGTATTCTTTTGTAATTTGGTATGTATAAGGAATTGAAATAAATTATTATTATTATTATTATTATTATTATTATATCTCTAAGTTTATATAAAGATATACCAAACAAGAAGTTACTATTGATTCTAGAAGCTACTTGTTTGCATTTCTTGGTCTACATCGTCTAATCAAGATTATCAATGAGCTATGAACTATACGCTACTGTAACTTCGCTGAATAAATTTATCATCCTTAGATTTTAACACCCCTGAAATGCGGGAGATAGTACCACCGACACCCGGAATGGCGGTGCTCAATATCTTGTCGGTGAGTGATCGTGATGACGGTTACTATATCTGCTCGGCGTCATCTCCCGCCGGTACCATCGAGGAACAATTCGGCATTCGTGTCGACAGAGGCGACGGCGGCTTCGGCGGCGGTCAGTACCTAACACTTTCTATAACGAACCGACCATTATCGAAGTGTATGGCTATTGTCAGTATTATAATACATTCATAATTATTTTACTTAGTTGAATTGCAAATGGTGGATTTTTAAGGAACGATGCTTCAATTAGATTTCCTGCTTCTGTTATTTCGGGTGCGCAAGGTTGAATGATATATACTTAATAGGGGCATTTATCAGTTTCTAGGTTCCGCGACTGATATAAAATGCATAACGCATTTTACATCAGATATACACCAACCCTAAATGAATTTTGGTTGCTTTCTTTATAGATATTTAAAACATATTCTTAGTGACAAATGCTAAAAATATCCACTTTGTCCCTGGTACTTTAAGATGATTTTATTATTATTATCACGATTTTTTCAAGAACTTCTTACTTTATATTAAGAATATTTTTTTAATTAAAAGTACCAGTGCTTGAAAAATTGTGAATGCAAAATTCTCTCATTGACAAAATACTAAAAAATCCACCACTTGCAAGTGCTCGATATGAAATCTCAAACTATAACATTTTTTAAACGCTGTTTAACATAAAATTAGTATTTAACATGCAATTTTAAAAACAGGCGAAGGCAGTGGCGACGTTGGTATCAACCCCGGCTACCCTGATAACTCCTACAACCAACAACCAAATGATTTAATCGCTAAAGAAGGACAAACCAGCCGAATAACGTAAATACAACTATAATTATTATGTATTTATTATAATAATTTTATTGTGAATTATGACCGCTGTTAGTCACACAAAAAAAGTGTTATTTTGGACTTAAATTACAAATACCATTCCATTGCGAAATACATTCTAAATTATTTTTGGTTGTTTTCTTTATAGATATTTGAAAAATATTCTTAGTATATATCCAATATGTACCATTATAATGTCCACATCAAAATAGAAAGAACATATACCTATAAAGTAAATTCTTTTTTGACAGCTGCAACGTCTCCAACGATGAATATGAAGTCAGGTGGAGTCGTGGTGATGGCAGTCCATTGCAACCGAATGCAGAACAAATGGGCGCGGAGCTTGTCATTAGAAATGTAAGTGGCGAATAATAAACATATATGTATAAATGTAAATTCCATGCAATCGACTAAGACACTAGTGACGAATAATAAATATACAGTTCTCTACCCGTTTTCCTAAGCTTAGAGAAGTATTCGGCTGGTAATTATTAAGATTAATAAGAACTACTTTCCTTGCTGACGAAAAAGACCAACCTTTATCACTATTAAATCAGGCCGTTGCAATTTGTCAACGTGCCAGACCATATTGCATATGCCACTCTAGCTGCAACGCCTCTGACTCTACCTCGTTCTCTCTTCGGAACTATCCCCTTTTCTATACCTTCCTCACTATATCCTTAATTTCTTCCTCAAGTGTTTTATACCTCTTTCCCTTTCAGAATTCTTATACTTTTTCATTGTTTCAACTCGAGGATTTCAATGAAGGTGCCATGGTTTTACCACATTAAAAGACTTCCGCTCATCCTGAAATGTATCCCAACGAAAATAATGAAAAGGTTTTTTGCCCCTGATATAATTACACTAATATGTATCCATGCACACAAATAGTATAATCTACCACTGACAAACAGTATACAGATAATGAAAAACTTATCAATATGAAATGGTATTCTTTTCTTTTGCAGACTTCCAAATCGGACGCAGGATACTATACATGCGGATTATACGACCGGTATACAGACGAAGTTCAGCAGTCCGCGTACACAAGCCTGATAGTTTTGTCCCCGCCGCGTATCACGCTGAAGCCGCCCTCGCAGACAGTGCACCCCGGCGAATCACCCACGGTCGAGTGCGTCGTCGACGGCGATGAAATACAAGAGGTCACCTGGCGTGCTGTCACCAGACCTTTCTCCAGGTACGTGTAATCAATCTTACTGCTAGCAATTAATTGTATTTGCCAATATTAAAACAGCTATATTTATGTTTATACACATCGATACAAATAATAGAAGAAACATAGTCTATAAAAAAATCATGCTTACTTTGTCAGGGGATTGACTAGACAAATTAAGATGCTCGTAGATAAAAGGCATGACGACTGGGTAAAAAAAAAACTCTATTTAGTCCGTCAGTCAGATATTAGACAAATATTAGATACGTATTTCTTTTTTACTTCAATTTAACAAAAATAGCTTAGATAACAGGCATTAAAGTTGAGGAGTGTAGGCTCGCAACGTCATAGTTTTGTAGAAAATATACCAAAGCGTGACGTCATGTTACATTTTAATTCTATGTATCGCCGTAATTTAATGATTACGAAAAAATATATGTTTAATATTTTTCAACAATCGAGCTGAGGGACAAACAAATAAAAAATAGTCGTCATCCCTATGCTCGTTCATAAGTAAGTAAAATAATTTAAACAATGTAGGAGTAAACGAATCGTATATAATCGTATATTTGAAAGGTTCAATTGGTACGAATAATCTAGTGGGACAGGGATTGCCACAACTTGCACCGTTTCATCCATTACATTTTTATAAAATAATATATTTCATTTGTCCACAGTCGAGTTGAAATCAACCGTTCAAGATTAATATTCAATCGCATCGAAGTAGAGGACGCTGGCAAATACGAGTGTTTCGCTTGGAACAGAATTGCTAATGCCTCAGCCTCGGCCGAGGTTATCGTCAGCGGTATGTTAAATCACAGCACCTTATCTGTAGTAATTTCGTATTAAAAAAAGGCATGTAGTTCACCTCTGATAAGAAGCACTTTTGGATGGGGGCATACAACAGGTAGGGCACGTGTTGAGATGAAACCAAAATCACTAATGAGAGCTAACTTTCACTCAAAAATGTTTCAAAATTCATTAATTAATTCCATTAATTCTAAACCTATTATCTATGTCGACAAAAATGTCCTCCAAGGATCTTGTAGCAAAAATACTGCATTTATTACATAATAACATTATTCAACACTCGTCTCATGGTCATCCTGCGGTATCTCCCCCGCTGTCACTTCACTGAATGTACAGTACAGGTTGCACTATCTGTAAAGGCACCTGTTTTATTTAGACGTCACACGAAGCTCGGTGGAGTTATTTTTCGCTTACGACCATCGGTCGTGTTGACTGCATGAATGATTCCATAGCGGATACCGTTCGGGCGGCATCGGAGTCGCACGATAACGAACAGTACGCGCACGTGGGTGCGGCCGTGCAGCTCTCGTGCACCACACGAGCACAGTACCGTGTCACCTGGACCAAGAACGGAAGACCCCTCCCTCGCTCCGTCGTGCAACGGCCCGATGGCTCGCTCTACATTCGCCTCGCACAGAAAACTGACAGCGGCCACTACGTATGCGACATACACGACCAATACGGAAGACGCACTAGCAATTACATCGACCTGCACATAGACGGTCAGTCACGGTAGCTTTGGCGATGCTTCGCGTGTAACCCCCCGCTTGTAGACCGTTGATCCGTTTAGATTGTGAATAACTTTTAATCTTTATCCGCTCGCAAAGGTGATGAGGAATGCACCAATGTCCAGTTTCGTTGTTACGACAACACTGGTTGTATAGACGTCGACTGGCTCTGTGACGGCATCAGTGACTGTCCGGACGAGAGCGACGAGAGAAACTGTATACTACGCGAAAAGCGTCTGCGCCCACGAGACAGGCGTACTCACAATCAAAACAACAGCGCCGGTATGATCGTATCTGTGGGCTCTCGGGCGTATTGTTGTGGGCGTTTTCTTTTTGTGACTAAGCGTTGATATTTGGTGTTGCAGCGGAGATGGAGTGGGTCTGATGATAACTTGCGTTTATAATAATAAAACGTTTTGGTGTTTTTGTATTCTAACGTGTTGTTGTGTTTTGTATTTTTGTAGTCAGCTATTTGTGTTTTGTTAGTTTCATTTTTAAAGCACCTGCATTTTACAATTGTATGAAGTGGCTTGTGATCCGATATAACATTTCGCTTCTTCATACTATTATTATTCGCTTTGCATGTGTCCTATTTTATCAAAAATCATCTAATTTAGTTAAGTAGATATTTATATTGTTTTTATTTCAGCTAAATAAATTAAGGTAAGCCGGTAGCGTATAAAATTAAATATTTCCATACATATATTACGTGTTCACGAAGCCGTTACACATCGTAGCCATGATTAGGTTTCTGATCCAACCTAAAAGTAAAAAATTTTGTCTTACAACTATTAAAAGTTGAATATTATTAAAAACTTTTTATTAAAATACCATTCAGTATACTTTATTAAGGTTTTGTTTCTAGGATTTATCATTTGCATAGTAGATAGGTCTAATATTTCACATTTAAGACGAAATTAGCTATACTTAACGAGCTATACTTAGATTTAAATATACCATTCAGTATATTTTATTAAGGTATTGTTTCTAGGATTTATCATTTGCATAGTAGAAATATTTCACATTTACGACGAAATTAGCTATACTCAACGAGCTATACTTAGATTTAAATAAAATTGGGACTTTCTTATTTATAGTAAATATTATTTTAATAATCTTTAAAACAATGGAAGTCGATTAACGTGTAATTATCTAATTTTATTTAAGTCATCAAAAAAAGGCATTAAACGTGATGACCTTTTTTTACTATGAGTAATGTATATCTGAACATATATATAGGTCCCCGTGAAGAGCCCCCTCCTCTGGTTTCCATCGACCAGCCTCGCACCCCATTCAGGGTGGGAGAAAATGTTGAGGTGCTCTGCCGAGCGAGATCTAGAGGCAACCGCGTCTTTTGGGAAAGATATGGCACCAATCAATTCGTGGAAACAAGGGTAATGAAATAAGATTTATCTTGAAACAAGAGAATATTTCGGTAGAACAGTTAAGAATAAAGGATAGTAATTGTTGCTAATACCTATTTCGCACATATGTTGAATTCTAGAATTATGGTGACGGTGCCATGCTACTCGTGCCTAGTGTTCAAGAATCAGATGCTGGTCTATATAGATGCACAGGACAAGATCCTTATGGTCGCAGCAGCTATGAAGACTTCAACTTAGAAGTACAACCAGGTGTGTGAAATCAAATACGACGAACGAACAAATTCATAGGAGTAAAAATGTAGTGAAATGCGTAAAAAGTGGTAATTTATACTTAAGACACTTGTATGTAATTATCATATGACACAAACGTTTATTATTGACTTAAGTGTTTGAGCTTCTAACAAAAATATGCATTTTTAATAGGAAATCCCGTCATGTACCCAGAGAATCCATCTGATGACGTAGCGATGTATGTAGCTAAGCTCGGCGATAACGTGGACATGCCGTGCACTCACAACTTGGAGCAACCCGTTTCCGTCGAATGGAGAAGGCAATATACACCGTTACAGCCTGAAATCAGACCTTATGAGGTAAAACTATAATATAGTTAACTTGCTGTGGAGTCATAACAATCGGCTGGTATCCATTTATTTACAATAGCGATCAATAAACACCTGGTGAGTGTGTCTCAAGGAAATAATATACAATTTACAGCCTAACCTTCACCTGCAACGTATCACAGAAGCTGATGCGGGCACGTATATCTGTCGCGTGAGTAACAGTCGCACTGCGGTGGAGACGCGTGCTATCCTGCGTGTTATGGGAGTGGTACCTCGATTCGACGGCAACGGGTGGATCGCCCTGCCCACACTCAAGGATGCCTATAAACAGTTCGACATTGAAATCTCTTTCAAACCAAGTGGTGAGTAAAACGTATCTTATTTCGATAATCGCCTTCGAAATCCTTTAGTAAGATCCAGGTGAGATCCCATTCTTTAAATATACCAGTCAACAGTTAGATAGAATATGAGAAAAATCAGTTGCTGAAAATGTGTTACGTACTGAAACAAGAAAAAAATATACGTGCAACGGTTATTAAATACCTATGTGTACACGAGTGTTATTAAGATGACGATTGAAATTAAAAGCAAATCTTCTCTGCAGATGGAAATGGCCTGATTCTGTACAACAGTCACAAACAAGATCGCACCGGCGATTTCTTAGCTCTACAATTGGTCGACGGCGTGCCTCAATTTGTCCTGGACATTGGAGCTGGCCCGTTAGTGGTGAACGGTGACCGTCCTCTACAACTCAACGCATGGCATACCATCCGCATCAGCAAGACCAATTCTAGGGGTAAGTGATCCATAATACGTATTAAATAATGACTTCTCTTTTTCTCTGGTGACGGAAACAGAGGTTCGCAAGTCTATTTTGTCTATTAAGTCGAAAGCGTTCGGTTATGATGGTGTGAATAGGCAGTTGATTGTTTTGATTCTGGACAGTGTCCTACCAATTATCACTCATATAATTAATCACTCCCTATCTACTGGAACCTTCCCAATAATTTGGCGCAATGCGCTAGTGATGCCACTCCCCAACACCCAGCAACATTAAAGTCATTGTCATCCTTAGGTCTTTCTACCAGTTTAAAAATTTCCTTCCTATTTCCTCTAAAATCCTCTAATAGATTATGCTGATGTGTGTTATGCTGATATCACACAGGAACTTCTCAACAAATTGGATCGATTACTTAATAATTGCATACGTTTTATTTTCTGTCTTCGTAAGTACGATCACGTCTCTTCTTTTAGGAAAAAGTTAAAATGGTTAACTATTCGGCAGCGTCGAGATCTGAGGATGCTTTGTACCCTTTATTCCATCATTAAAGATCCATGTGCGCCTGGATATTTGAAATGTAAGTTTCAGTATCTAGGTGCTTCACACAGCCAAAACCTTCGCTCAGACAGCAAAGAAACTCTCGCCACTCCTTTTCACCGTACAGGGTTCATTTCAAACTCATTTTCGCTTCAGGCTATACGACTTTGGAACGCACTCCCTCCCCATATTCAAGCTGCTCCAAATAAATTATATTTCAAAAGACTGTTACGCGATAAGCTATTGAATTCTCCTGCCGCTGGTAATTAATCTGACTTGTTTATGTATGTTTGTATTATATATTTATTTATGTTATGTTATGTATATTTATTTTCGTTTTTTTATATATATCTATTGTTTAAGTGTAAGACACTTTATTTATATTTTGCAAAGCACCACCTCATTAAATTCTTTATGTCTTAACTCTCCGGTTGACTGGTAGAGAATGCCTACTGACATTAAGTCCGCCATTTGTGCACTTTATTTATGCAAAAAAGTTTAAATAAATAAATGCACAATTACATTATTTAGGTACAATACTTAAAATTCAAAAGCGTATGGATTTATTTTAATTGTTTTATCTGAAATATTGTTTCGTTGGTGGCCGGATTATAGGTATATTAGTCAAATTATTTTAAATAAAATTTATTTGAACATTTTGCAGTGATGATGGACGTGGACAACAACGGTCCTTCTATAGTGACATCTACTGGGTGGGAGCTGCTTGAGCTTGCGGAGCCGCTTTATGTTGGCGGCGTCAGAGACTACGACCAGCTGCCCGCAGCACTCGCCGGCGCATCTGGGTAATTTGAATTACTACACTTTATGTTGGCTCACTTCATGTGGGCTCAGTGGTGCAGATTTTGGTGTCTTGGGTCTGAGAATGCGTAGTTAAGCAACTTTTGCAATGGGCATTGACCTACCTACATATTGAATGAGGAAAGAAAATCGTACAATGTCAAACTCCTTCGTGTTTCGGAAACTATCTTTGGTCGTTGGTCTCGGCTGCATAACGTAAGGATACATGATACATGTTACATTACCATGTATGATGCAATTAAAACCTTTGCAAGTAAGAGCAATTTTTATTTATTTTATTTACTATTTGACAAAAAATACAATAGTATAATATATCTGAACGGTACAAAATGAACCTCCAAAAGCTTTTAATTACGAGTATAACCGATTGAATATTTAAGCAATATGAAATCATTAAAATCTATCATCGAGCCACACTGGGCCCGCATAATTGGTTATGACCTATTAAATGTACATTTAAATAGATATTTATTAATATTTTCGGTAACTATCCCGAAACTTTGCTTTACAAATAAAATTGTTTCATACAACAATACAAACATTGTTTCTTAATAATGTCATTCTATTTCCAAGGTTCATGGGCTGTGTGAGCATGCTAATCCTGGGCAGAGAAGAGAAGAACATAATGTTGGATAGTTTGGACAGATCGAACGTACTGCAGTGCGACTCTTGTATCCCCAACCTATGCAGCGAGAACGGAGTGTGCCAGGTACGGTGATTAATGCTAATACTAATACATCGAATCACTTATAACTAAATGCCAAGATATTAACGCTTTGCCGGTCTTGGAATGTTTGAATGCTAGTGATTTTGCAATTGGTAAAAAGAATTCGTCATTTTCAAAGATAAATCTATGAAACTTTGTATTAAAATTACTTGGTAATTTACTGGTAATTGCTACGGAACTACACCTCGTGGATGAATACGCGGGAATAACTGGTATTTATTATAAATATTAAACTTTGGATGTACGTAGCTCGGTGGCGTAGTGGATAAGCGCCGCGGCCCGCGATCGTAGTCGTTAAGCAACTTTCGCAAGGGTCGGTCACGGGATGGGTGACCAAAAAATTATTATCTCGAGCTACTCCGTGCTTCGGAAGGCACGTTAAGCCGTTGGTCCCGGCTGCATTTGCAGTCGTCAATACCCTCCAATCCGCATTGGGCCAGCGTAGAGGGTCATGGCCCATCCTCCTTAACCATCCATAAAGAAGGCCTGAGCCCCTGCAGTGGGGACGTAAAAGGGCTGGTGGTGTACTACTTTATGGGAAAAACGACTAATAATTGCTGCCGAAACTTTTACTAAAGAATCATTCCCAATGTAGCTTTCATAACAGTAGATGTTACACTCGATACTAACAATGTCATATATGTAGTAATGAAATTTATGTCTGATTAACGGCTGTTGTCAATACTGGATGTTAAATATTATTGTACATTCAGTATCTTGTTTCAAGATAGCGCCGTCTGATGTAGTTCAAGAAAAGCTCTAGCAGTGCTATTAATACACAAGATGTTAATATTAACTAATAAACCTTACGAGTAAATTTACGCTAAAATTTCAATTTTAGTATTATAATGTTTTAGAATTACTAAGACATTATAATACTAAACCTTCTAGGAGTAAAATATTACTCCAGTAGAACTTGCACTAGGTTAACCTTTACTAAGTCTTTGTTTCATAATATGAATTCTAACTGAACTAAGTGCAGTCTCAGTGTAAATTTACTCCAACGCTAAACCTTGTTTATTAATAACACTATAGGTGTTTAATTATCTATTTAACTACACTTATTAAGCATTATTAAGAAAGAAACTAGCAAGAGACTAAGTTCAAATCAATTCAAATCTAAGAACTCCGACTAAAGTGTCTACAATGAACACTATAAATATTATAATGCCAAAGTTTGTCAGGATTTCGAATAATAATGGTAATAACAACAAAAAGAATATAACCGACTTCCAAATTTCAAAAAGGTGTAAAATAATACTTATCTTTTAAAAGTGGTTAATTTTTTCAAGAACCATTGTAGTTGGTGCTGAGGTTTTCTGTAGTTTATTAAATGATATACGCCCAATTTCAATGTTTCTTAAAAAAAAAACTGCTTTTAAGATAAGAATTATTTTCACCTTTTAAAAGTTTTAAGTCGGTTCTATTTTATGAAAAATGATTTTATTTCATTATTATTAGTGATACTTGTATACAGTGACATTACAAGTAAAAAAAGGGTAGATAGGTCATGTCAGTACTAATACGATGTCAAAAATTATCTCCAATTATTCATAAACTATAATTGAACATGTCACAGACCAAAAGAAATACCAGATGTATAATGATTTAATGCATGTTTAATGCCTCCTTTTACATAAACGAGTAAAGACTTCGATCAACTTAAAAATGTTGATGTCTAACATTACTCTATTATTTGTCCCTGTCGTTAGTGTATATATATTTGCCCGTGTATAAATAATGAAACTTTGGATCGGAGTACTTTTTAGCTCCGGATTTAGGTTTCGATGTTGATGGAAGTGTCGCTTTAGTCTCAGCTTTCAGACTCCGGAGTTTCAGTCTCATATAGATTTTCAAATAAATGTAGTTTTGAGCGTAGGTACTAAACTCGAACTGTCCATTCTGCTACTTACATAATCTTTGACAGATCTCTTTCATAATTTGTAACCGGAGTATTTCTCTTTCTTTTTATGACACAATTTTTTTCCGATTAAAACGCAAATCAATTAAAAATGTATACTTACGAATGAAATGTGACTCCTTGATCTTTAGACGACTTATTTATGTAGTTTCTACAGTTTCGCATACTACTTCAAAACTACTCATTTTAAAAATGAATAAGGTACACTAAAGCACACAATGCTTTCGCCAAACTGCGCTCAGGTATGTTAATTAGCATAGTTTTAAGGTGACACTTTTTGAATGCAAGTAACCTATCTTCCCTTTTTTATTGTAATATCATTGCTTATATAGGTACTAAATATTAAATGTCTATATAAAAGAAATATACTTAAAACGAAAGTCTTGAAAATTATATTGATTGCATGACGAAACCACGAAGAAATCGGAGGAAAACTTTCTTAGATAAAAATAATATTTATATATAAAACATACATATAGCTCAATAGAAATAGGAAAACCTGAGGAAAGCTGAAATTATACGAGGATCGGGTGCAAGACAACGGAGAGCCCACTCTCTAATTTATTTGTCATACTCTGTAAGAACGTTGACAAATGTAGGTTTAATGAACTTTCCGATAGATAGCAGGACTGTGTCAACGCGATGTAGGTCATGTCAATCTTTTGTCCATATATATTTCTATAAATTGGTATGAATCAATATTGTACATTAGTTTTCCACTTATAAAGTTAAATGAAACATACTTAGATAGAATAATAAAATATTTACGTTTCGATTGTTTGTGTAGAAATTAAATTAGAAACAGAGAACTTATTAATGTTAGATATATACATTATCAATTATTATTATATATAAAAACACTGTTGTAACATCACAACAACAGGATCTTACACACATTCACACGAAAACATTATTACTCTCATATATCTATATACAACGTAATGTAGCGATGAAAAGTATGGATGTATAGCTATGACTCCGAATACAAACGCCTTACATCCAATAATCAATTTATTGCTTACTTCACAAGGTGAATCCTAAAGCTAGTGTCCGCATCAATTATATTCAATGAACATACGAAGTTGTACAATTAATTATTTTCTATTTAAAATTATATTGACAAGTAATCGCCGTCGATATAAAAATCAAGAGTATATTATATATAATATATGAAAGAGTAAAAATAATAGATACTGACTGGTCAATGAATAAAATCTATAAACTAGTGTTCAAGGAGTAAATCTGCTAATGTTTATAAGTGTATATAATATGTTGGGAGAAGCCCACATCACTCCCCTCCAAAGGCCCGGTTAGGGACGATAATGATTTGGAAACCGCACATACCTTCCAGAACGCGTAACTTTAGTTAAATTTGTCATGGAAGGAGTGCGTGTAGGTAGTTGCGTTACCACCTTTGGAGACGAGAGAACAGAGTTTGTATTGTCATCGTCGGTTAATATGAAAGCAGGTTTAATGCGATCTATGCTAACAGTCACTTTACTACCTTTAATAAGAATTGTAAACGTTTTATCCCCCCGTGATAAAACTTTGTGTGGACCTGTGTATGCAGGCTGGAAAGGCGCACGCGAAGCATCTTCACGCAGGAAAACATGGTCCGTGGTTGCTAATTCCTTAAAAATATATACCTTGCCTTTACAATGACGAGAAGCTGGCGTAGGCTGTAATTTTTCGGCAAAAGAATGTAGCCGTGCCGTAAAATCTGACAAGTCAGTGGTGCCGTTAATGCTAGGGTTGAAAAATTCTTAGCGGCTCGCCGTATAGTAACTCGGCAGAGGAAGCTTGCAAGTCCTCTTTGAAAGCGCTTCGAAAGCCAAGTAGCACCAACGGTAGACTCTCAGTCCAATTGACGTCAGCGTGGCAAGTGATAGCTGCTTTTAGCTGCCTATGAAAGCGCTCAATGAGTCCATTACACGTGGGGTGATATGCGGTGGTACGCTTATGCTAGAATCCTATAAACTTTGCAAGATATTGAAACAGCGCCGATTCAAATTGTCGACCACGATCTGTGACAATATTTATTGGACAACCAAATCTCGATATCCAACTCATAATAAGAGCCTTAGCTACAGTTTCAGCTGTGATATCGGGAATTGGAACTACTTCAGGCCACCTGGTAAATTGGTCAATGGCCGTTAAACAATATCAGTAACCGTTTGAGATAGGAAGAGGACCTATCAAGTCGATATGCACGTGTTTAAATCGTGCTCGAGGAAGATTGAAGTTTCCTCCAGGCGCAGAGACGTGTCTCGTTATCTTTGAACTCTGACACTGTAAGCAGCCTCGAGTCCAGTCCCTAATATCTTTTCGAACTCCAGGCCAAACGAAACGTTCGGTTACCAATTTCACAGTAGTACTGGTACCTGGGTGACTTAAGGAATGCAGAGTATTGAAAATTTGCTTGCGAAATTCCTTTGTAACGAATGGCCTGGAAGTCGATGTACTTATATCGCAGTACAAGGATGTACGACTTCCAGGTAAAGTTAGTTGTTGCAAGCGCAGCGAAGAAGTATTCGATACATACTCGGCCAGTTCAGGATCACCTAACTGAGATCGTGCCAAATCTTCAAGATTGATTGGTCTCTCCAATGCTTCGACCCGAGATAAGGTATCGGCGACTACTTTATCCCTGCAGATATGTGCCTTATATCGGTCGTAAATTGGGAAATATAATCTAAATGTCGGTGTTGACGAGGCGAACAGTTAAGTTTCTTTTCATTGAAACTATAACTGAGTGGCTTGTGGTCTGTAAACACTGTGAAGTGTCTTGCCTCCAACATATGCCGGAAATACTTGATGGCTTCATAAATGACAAGAAGCTCTCGATCATAAGGCGAGTATTTCGCTTGAGATGGACTAAGCTTCATGCAACTGTTGAAGCACTGCTCCCATGGCTACGTCCGACACGTCTGTCACCAGTGCTAACTTTGCTCGACAATCTGGATGAGCGAGCATTGTAGCATGAGCTAAGCTTTCCTTGGTTTCTTGAAAAGCCTTCAGAGCATCACCTGTGAGATTGATGGGAGATGTCCCTTTAACTGCC